GGGATATATTGTCATATACCGTTGATACCATTGACATCGATATGGGTATTTTTTGAATCGGGGTGACGTGTAGATATAGGAAATCGATATCCGACGTTACTTTGAAATCCAAGGTGGAGGATTCCTGTTGCAGAAAAAGTGTCAAATATCCATAAATATGGGTATTTTTAGAATCGGGCTAATGACTAAAGGCCACTAATCAATATCCGATAAGTTTTTGAAATTAAAGATGGCGGCTTCTGGTTTAAGAAAATTTGGGAATGCTGTCAATTATCTATAAAATGGGTATTTTTGGGATCGGGTGACGTCTAGAGATTGGAAATAGGCATACGACGCCATTTTGAATTCCGAGATCCAAGAAGAGATTGGGAATTACTATCAAATATCAATCAATATGGGATTTTTATGAAGGTTTTTGGAGGTTGTCGTCTAGAGAAAATCGATATGTGTGGCGGCTTCCAGTTTCATAAAAAGTGAAAAATAATTTCAAAAGTCCATAAATATGGGTATTTTTGGAATTTGGGTCACGAATAGAGGCCAAAAATCAATTTTAACATAACTTTAACCTAACATTTACTTCCCAACAAACAATTGCCTATTGAAGAAACGACTTCTTGACTATTTTATATCACTTCATGCTTAATAATACTTGTACTAATTTAAATATTAACTTCTGTTCAGGCTTTGTTCACACAAATCTGGAGAATTTATTCAACTACAACATCGAAGTATTTGGTGTTGAATAAGGTGTGTCGAGAAGCTTCTCTTCGACTTACAAAAATTGTAACAGAGCTTATTCGATCAAATTTTTTATTATTCAGCGTTAATTAGACATCATTACTTCCTTAAACAGCGATGATATAAAGGTGTATATAGACGCTTGATTATTATGTGAAATAATGTTTCATTAGACACTATTCTACATTTATTAAACGATTATTAAATTACGGGATAATTTAACTTAAACTTAACTTAAACTTAACTTAAACTTAACTTAACTTCAAATAAATTTTAACTTAACTTTAAATAAACTTTAACATAACCTTTACTTAACTTTGCCTTAATTTTAACATAACTTAAATTTTAAGATAACTTTAACCTAACTTTAACTTAACTTTAACTTAACTTTAAATTTTAGCTTAAATTAAACATAACTTTAACATTAACATAACTTTAACTTAAACCGAACATTAACTTAACATATCTTTAACTTAACTTTAACTTAACGTAATTTGAACTTAAATTTAACATAACTTTATCCTAAAATTAACTGAACTTTAACTTAACTTAAGCATTAACTTTAACTTTAACTTAACTTTATTTTTAACATAACGTTAACTTAACTTAACTTAAATTTAACATAACTTTAACTTAACTTTAACTTAACTTTAATTTAACTTTAACTTAACTTTAACTTAACTTTAACTTAACTTTAACTTAACTTTAACTTAATTTTAACTTAACTTAAACTTAACTTTAACTTAACTTTAACTTAACTTTAACTTAACTTTAATTTAACTTTAACTTTAACTTAACTTTAACTTAACTTTAACTTAACTTTAACTTAACTTTAACTTAACTTTAACTTAACTTTAACTTAACTTTAACTTAACTTTAATTTAACTTTAACTTTAACTTAACTTTAACTTAACTTTAACTTAACTTTAACTTAACTTTAACTTAACTTTAACTTAACTTTAACTTAACTTTAACTTAACTTTAACTTAACTTTAACTTAACTTTAACTTAACTTTAACTTAACTTTAACTTAACTTTAACTTAACTTTAACTTAATTTTAACTTAAGATTAATTTAATTTAACTTAACTTTAACTTAACTTTAACTTAACTTTAACTTAATTTTAACTTATAATTAATTTAATTTAACTTAACTTTAACTTAACTTTAACTTAACTTTAACTTAACTTTAACTTAACTTTAATTTAACTTTAACTTTAACTTAACTTTAACTTAACTTTAACTTAACTTAACTTAAACTTAACTTAAATTTAACTTTAACTTAACTTTAACTTAACTTTAACTTAACTTTAACTTAACTTTAACTTAACTTTAACTTAACTTTAACTTAACTTTAACTGAACTTTAACTTAACTTTAATTTAACTTTAACTTTAACTTAACTTTAACTTAACTTTAACTTAACTTTAACTTAATTTTAACTTAAGATTAATTTAATTTAACTTAACTTTAACTTAACTTTAACTTAACTTTAACTTAACTTTAACTTAACTTTAACTTAACTTTAACTTAACTTTAACTTAACTTTAACTTAACTTTAACTTAACTTTAACTTAACTTTAACTTAACTTTAACTTAACTTTAACTTAACTTTAACTTAATTTTAACTTAAGATTAATTTAATTTAACTTAACTTTAACTTAACTTTAACTTAACTTTAACTTAACTTTAACTTAACTTTAACTTAACTTTAACTTAACTTTAACTGAACTTTAACTTAACTTTAATTTAACTTTAACTTTAACTTAACTTTAACTTAACTTTAACTTAACTTTAACTTAATTTTAACTTAAGATTAATTTAATTTAACTTAACTTTAACTTAACTTTAACTTAACTTTAACTTAACTTTAACTTAACTTTAACTTAACTTTAACTTAACTTTAACTTAACTTTAACTTAATTTTAACTTAAGATTAATTTAATTTAACTTAACTTTAACTTAACTTTAACTTAACTTTAAGTTAACTTTAACTTAACTTTAACTTAACTTTAACTTAACTTTAACTTAACTTTAACTTAATTTTAACTTAAGATTAATTTAATTTAACTTAACTTTAACTTAACTTTAACTTAACTTTAACTTAACTTTAACTTAATTTTAACTTATAATTAATTTAATTTAACTTAACTTTAACTTAACTTTAACTTAACTTTAACTTAACTCTAACTTAACTTTAATTTAACTTTAACTTTAACTTAACTTTAACTTAACTTTAACTTAACTTAACTTAAACTTAACTTAAATTTAACTTTAACTTAACTTTAACTTAACTTTAACTTAACTTTAACTTAACTTTAACTTAACTTTAACTGAACTTTAACTTAACTTTAATTTAACTTTAACTTTAACTTAACTTTAACTTAACTTTAACTTAACTTTAACTTAATTTTAACTTAAGATTAATTTAATTTAACTTAACTTTAACTTAACTTTAACTTAACTTTAACTTAACTTTAACTTAACTTTAACTTAACTTTAACTTAACTTTAACTTAACTTTAACTTAACTTTAACTTAACTTTAACTTAACTTTAACTTAACTTTAACTTAACTTTAACTTAACTTTAACTTAACTTTAACTTAACTTAACTTAAACTTAACTTAAATTTAACTTTAACTTAACTTTAACTTAACTTTAACTTAACTTTAACTTAACTTTAACTTAACTTTAACTTAATTTTAACTTAAGATTAATTTAAATTAACTTAACTTTAACTTAACTTTAACTTAACTTTAACTTAACTTAACTTAACTTTAACTTAACTTAACTTAAACTTAACTTAAATTTAACTTTAACTTAACTTAAACTTAACTTAAATTTAACTTTAACTTAACTTTAACTTAACTTTAACTTAACTTTAACTTAACTTTAACTTAACTTTAACTTAACTTTAACTTAACTTTAACTTAACTTTAACTTAACTTTAACTTAATGTTAACTTAACTTTAACTTAACTTTAACTTAACTTTAACTTAACTTTAACATAATTTTAACTTACCTTTAACTTAACTTTATCTTAAACATAAATTAACTTAACTTTATCTTAACATAAACATAACTGTAACTTACCTTTAACTTAACTTAAACATAACCGTAACTTAACTCTAGCTTAATTTTAACGTAACATTAACTAAATTTTAACTTTTGTTTTAACAAATGTTTATCTTACCATTAACATAACTTTAACTTTAACATAACAGAAACTTAACTTTAACTTTACTTTAACATAATTGTAGCATAAAATTAACATAACTCTAACTTAATTAGCCGAACTTTAACTTAACTTCAACATAATTTTAACTTAAATTTAGTTGTAACTTACTTAATTTAACTGAACATTGAAATACCTTTAACTTTTACTTAATTTTAATAAAAATTTAACTTAACTTTACCTTAAACATAAACATCGGGATCCGGCATCGGCATGCGTTGCATCGGTAAGGATTCCTCCAGCGGATCAGTGGAAGCAGCCGGCGTAATTAGTGGAAGCAGTCGGCTGAAAAAAAGTTTTTTAAAAAATCATCAAATTTTTTCATCTGTCAATTTGTAATTAATTTCAATTTGTAATTAATTTCCAAAATTGATCTGCTGGAGGAATCCGGCTGAGTTATGCATCCTAACTGATGCAACGCATCAATCAGGATGCTCAACTCAGCCGGATTCCTCCAGCGGATCAATTTTGGAAAACAATAAATTACATCAAAATTGATCCGCCGGACGAATCCGGATGAATTAAACATCCTTATTGATGCGTTGCATCAGTAAGAATGTTTAACTCAGCCGGATTCCTCCAGCGAATCAATTTTTAATAATAATTACACTTAATATCAAACTGTTCAGTACTTACCATCAACTTTGCCATCGGAGGCAAATTTCACGACGCGGATAAACGCGTCTATACACGCACGATATGAAAAAACGACTGACCACGTAATCAGTCGCCGCGAAAAAAATCACAAAAAAATTGCTAAGTTCCATCCGCCATTTGGTCGCCCGGCGGATGAAATTACTCTAGCGGGGCGAGTCGCCTTTCGTCCGGATCCCGGAGCGCCATTTGGTAGCCCGGCGCATGAAATTACTCTAGCGGGGCGAGTCGCCCTTCGTCCGCATTCCGAACAAAGGGCGAACGATCAGTCTTCAAGTCGCTCAATGTCAAATGACGTCACTTTTTCGCCGGCAATTCGTGTGGGTGGCGAAGTTACGGGGCGAAATACGAAAGCGTATCAAAATCCACCTACTACGAAACGTCATTCATTTGGTAGGACGGCTTGCGACAGACATCCTGAATTTTGTGAGTTGAAAATTTTCTAATTTTATCCTTGTTTATCTGCAATTAAAAGGTTTTCTAATATTTCAGCCTCACGTACAGCTCCGTTCATATAAAATCGCTAGAAAATGTCTGCCTGGAGAGCCGCTGGTTTGAAGTAAGTAGCTCGAAAATAAGATGTTTCCATTCCGGCTAGATGCAATGCAGCTTGCGCCTTACGTAACCTCTTACGAAGATTTTCTCGTCGGAACTTCTGGACGAACTGGTTTGTAATGAAAATCACAATTTGGTTGTCCTTTCTAGCTACATAAACTACTCGAACATATGTGCCCGTCTGGTACGCAAAGCTCTGAAGCAGGAGCATCAAGCTACCGCTATCCGACGAGACGAGTCCCACATTAAGTTCACCAAATGGATCAACGGAAAACCAGAAAGTGAGTATCAGCAGTTTCGTTGCATTCTGCTAGTCTTTCTATTGTTTCTAGGTTTAACGAACAGCGGTTTTGCAATATATATACAATTTACTGTATCTCTACTTAATTTCAGCTGAAAAGTAAACAGCTCTGTATAGCATTCAGCTGTACATTCTTCTTTGGGATATAAACATAGGGGATTGTAAGTTTCAGGTGGCCCCTAGTACTAACAAAGTTGTGTGCCTCTCGCTAACAGATTTTGCTATCCTGGATTAAAATTCTGAAACATTTCGGTCTTACTGTTTGTCCTTAAAGTAACAAAACTCTCAAAATGTATGAAATATGATTCCATACCATACTAGATCCCTTGATTTGAAATACTGTCATGCAGCTTGAAGCACTTTTCAAATGCTTCATCAATGAAGGATTGTTGAAATATTTCTTTACTAATGCTTTTCTTTCATTTTTCCATCTTTTAATCCTCAGAGGTCATCGTTGAAAGCACGAAGTAAATCCGGATGTTAAGAAACTGTCTTTAGATTTGTTCGATAATAAAAAAAGTGAAGATTCTCCGATGAAGGAAAGGTAAATTTTTATACTTTTATTTATCAAAACATCAATGTCCGTAATTCGAAAGAAAGCCATGATTCCATCACCGCAAGTTAAACATATATATATTTAAATAACTAAGCTGTAGTTCAATCAATGCGTTTAGGTCCCTCGCCAACTTTTGTGTTAATGAGATATTTCAAGAGATTTTTCCCGTTGGCAGTAAATTGCTGATCCACTTTCGGCAGTGTGGCTATATCGACCGGAATGCCCTTGATGTATTCCGGATCACCGAGTTTATCATTGGGAAAAACTTGATTCACTACTCCCAGCACCTCAGGGACATCCTTTTCCAGTAGATAAAGGCACGCGTTTGGACCGGCATCGAATGTATAGGCCACTCGGATTTCTTTCTTTAACGCGTTGAACTGATGCACCATGTTGACGACGGCAAATGAGACATCGTTCATGTAAACACATGGTGGATAAGTGTCCAGGCAAACCGCGTGAAATTGATTACTATCCTGCATGGTGATTCTTCCGAAGGTATCAAAGTCCTTTTGGTGCAAGGCCTATCAAATTTCAAACTGATTAGTACTCGATCATATTAATCGGTAGGATATTATTGTTACAAACAGGCATGGAAAATCATTTGCATTCATTTCGTGCATTCATTTACATTCATTTACCTCTAACCTTTTTCATCAACAAAATTCCGCAAAATAATGTATAGAGCTTTTGTAGGTTTTGTTATAAACTACAACTTTTGTAAACAACTCAAACCCGTATCTCTTATGTATGACGAACCAGAGCAAACAGAAGCCACTACTGTTTTTCAGTGAATGCAATTCACATTCACTGAAAAACAGTAACAAGTTCTGCCCGTTCTAATTCGTGATGCATAAGATCTACAGATTTGAGTTATGGGCAAAAGTTGTAGCTAATAACAAAACCTACTAAAGCTCTATACATCATTTTGCAGATTGCTGTTGATGAAAAAAGTTAGAGGCAAATGAATGTAAATGATTGCATGAAATGAATGTAAATGATTTTCCATGCCTGGTTACAAACCTCTACCAAATCCTTGGTGTGTTGGGGGACGCACGTCTTTACGCGGTACTTTAACAGTTTGGACGTTTTGACGCTAGTCGACATCCCTCCGGTGGAACTAGTTTTCTTTCGTGCATCATTCACCACTAGGATGATGATTCGCATTTCCGGCCAAAAGTCATGTGGAACCAGTTGAACGGCTAAGGAATCGCTACCATCCGGAAGTTCCCCTTTGCGCCACTGCACAAATCCAGAGTGCAAACTACGACATGCTGAGCCGCTTCCCTGGCGTGCAATGGAGCTGATCTCTTCGTTTTCGATTCCGTAAAGGCAGGCAAGGGTGTAAACTGGAACGTACGAAATAATGAGAAACTTGAAACCATTTCAGAACAAAACCAATTTTCTCACCTAAACAAGCATATCCGGAGGCACTCGAAGCTAGCCCAGCGGCAGTGGGGAAATTATTTTCAGTCTTAACGTGTACATTCCATTTCAGTAGTTCCGGCTTGCATTTGTTAGATGCTTTCGCTCGTTTTTTAACTGTAAAAATCAAATGTTAAGGTAAGTTTTTTTTTTGTATTGCCTGTTTTCTGTCGTTTGTCGGTGTGGATCTGATCAATTTTATCAACGGTAGTAAAAACCAAAATTTTAAAATAATATAAATAATTTATCTAGATAAAAATAACTTGTCCAGAAAAGATCAGACACGAACCAACTCATGAATTTTACACGCTTGTTCGTGGCTTAGATAAACGTTTTCCGCGAACAAGAAGACAATTCAGTGCCAACATTTCAAAGGGGCGTAATTGCATTTGTAAACAATTGCTTTAGCCGTCGATTTCTCGCGAATAAAAGCTCACTCATTAAAAATAATGACACCACCAGGTAGAGGAATGTTTCCTCTACCAGCTAGCATTGTAATTTTGTGGAGGTAAGATTTAATTCGCGAGAAATTGACGGCTAAAGTTATTGTTTACAAAAGCAATTACACCCCTTTTAAATGTTGGCACTGAATTGTCAGTGGTGTGCTTTGAGCATAAATTTCATGGTAATTTCTATGGTCATTCATGTCAGTTTGTCGGTGTTTATATCACCGACAAACCAACATGAATGACCTTAGAAAAAACAATTAAATTTCTAACCAAAGCACACTACTGACATCTGTCTCCGTGTTCGCGGGAAATATGTCTACTATGTGAACCCGCATGCAAAAGTTATAAATTGGTTCGTGTCTGATCTATTCTGGACAAATTATTTTTATCAAGATAAAAAAAAAAACTGTGATTTTGACAGTTCGGATCAGTGCACATTTAAATCGACCGTTTACGATTTTCGGACATAAGTCAGAATGAAGTGTCATGTCGGTTTGTCGGTGGTAATACATCAACGAATGCCTAAAAAAACGTGTATTGCCGTTCATTTGGTTCCACCGGGGCCCCATCAAGTTTTGGACATATTTGACGATTTGCCACTACCGATATTGTATCTATCTTGTGAAATATTGTATATATTTTCTTCTTAAAACGTTTTATTCTAAACCAAACAGATTCTATGATACATCCGATTGAAAGCGTACCGATTGTAAATTGGCAGGGTTTTAGTAAAATGCTACAATTCCCAACATAAAGCCGTGGGAAAGAGCTTGCCTTACTGCAGTAGATGAGAAAGCTATTCATCAGCTTGAATTTTACTGGGTTTATTTCCACGTAGTGTAAAAGACACTAACGAAGCTATTCTTGCATTTGTGGAAAGTCAAAATGACGGGTTAATTTAATGGTTGATGCTTGGAGAGTTCTTAATATTTTGGAAATCATTGGAGAAATTTGGAAATTCGGAGAAAATCAGAACCTGAGAGTCTTACTCAAAATTAAAAAAAATAATAATAATGGAAAACTATGTCAAGGCCAACTTAGAACAGACCAGTCCTAAAATCTGCGGACTTTAAAATACAGATTCCGGTCTTCAATAAATCCAGCTAGTTCACTTGTTTCGCTGACGACCTGGGTTTTGTCGAAAGAAGTTCCAGGCGGTAGCAGAGGAGACAACCTATACCAGGATGAAACGTTGGATTTAAGGTGAGTACGTTTGAAACAAAGTATTTGTTGGTTGGAGAAACCGAGAGCTATGTAGGGCTCGCATATGCAGAAGTGTGATAATCGACGGCAACGAATTCGAGGTGGTTGATGAATTTGTGACGTCGGTAAACTTCGTCCCCGTACTAAGTGTACCATGCACAAACTGCTGATAAGACTGGTAGTCCTCTACGGGCACGAGACGTGGATAATAATCGAGAAGGCCTGCAACAGCGATGCTTTCATCTGATATTCCACTGGCCAGTGCGCATAAAGAGCAATTGGCTTCAGTCTTTTTGGATATTAAGGGCGCATTTGATTCAGTTTCCATAGACAGACTGTCTGACAGTAGTGGATTACTCGGTATTTTGAATAATTTCTGTCAGAAAAACAAATGACCTTCAATCTAGGGCAACTGACAACTTCTAGAATTAGCTACATGGGCTTACCTCAAGGTTCATGTTTAAGTCCCTTACTTTATAATTTCTATGTCAAATATATAGATAACTGCTTAGATAATCGATGCACGCTTAGACAGCTTGCAGACGATGCCGTGGTTCCCCCACTTTTATACAATTTTTTACAATTTTTTTAAGTTTACTGACTTTTTCAGCTGTTCAAAAACCCAGTAAAAAATTACCGAACAGGGAGGCCGTGATTTTGTGTGTACTTAGAACTACTGCTGTTTAAAATGTAAATTCAAGCATTACTGATATTTGGCTCCGCAAAGTGTCACACATGACTGCTTAGTTTAATAAATGTACTAGTAAAAAAATGCACGATCTGAGTTAGTTGGCGAAACATTGCGGGTCATTATTCAGGTCAAATCTTGAAGGACGTTGGACCAGAAAAAGTATGTAAGGATAAAAGCTAGTGGCATCACGATTGAGTTGAAAGCTGCAATGTTGTTGCAAATGTTGCGAAGATTTACTATAATGCCGACCAGTGTCGCTCAGTTCATATACAACTTGAATTTGAATTGGGATGAATGTCTTGGACATCGATCACAGTTTTAAAATACCTAATATGAATTCATAAAACCAATTAGATAAACGGAACAAGCATTAAATGTATACAAACAACCTTCGGTAAACTCGGTAAAGCCGCAGCTACAAAGCAAGACCATGATGGTTGGGTTCGATTCCCGGTCGCTCTAGGAATGTTTGGGTTGGGCATAGAGTATGATTATACTTGCCACGAAATTATACTAATGCAGAAAGCTATCAATTAATAACTGTGGAAGTGCATCTAGAACACTAAGTTGAGAGCACGCAATAAGCTAATATGCGATAAACAATAAGCTTGAAATGCGAAAAAGAAGAAGATGAGACAACCTTCAACATGCAAAGGAAGCTTCAGCAATTATAATCGTAGAATTCTAGAATCACAATCGTGTAAATTAATATATGACAACACTCAGCTGCAACTCTTGTCAAGAGTAATGCTAAAATAATACCAATTACAGAACCCATCAACATGGTCATTGCCGCAGTTTCATTAGAGGTCCTCATAACTTTGATGATTTACCTCTTCAAGAAGCTGCAACTTCGTCTCGTACTTTATAAATTAAAATAATTGGGGAAAGGGAGGCAATTTTGGGCACCTTAAAAAAAAATCACCACTAATCATACAAAATTCAGTGGAAAACTCGAATGAAGTTTAATCAAATAGATAGTTTTAAAGCCTATTTAAATCATGAATACAAATTGAACATTTAAAGTAAACTTTTGAATCTTATGAAAGAAGATTTTAAAAAATGTTCGTTTTGTAACCGAAATTAAACCGTTGAGGTAAAACGAGCACCCTGTAGGGGTGGTATGAGCGACCTTGTAAACAACCGGTAAGTGTTCTCTTGAGGCTTTATGAAGGGTCAACGTTGAACAGTTTTAGCACAAACAGACATAACACATTGACTGTTTTTCATTATGAAACATTCTCGCTAAAACACTACCACCATCTGTTGAGTATACTGTGATGGGCAGTACGCTTAACAGATAGCGGTAGTGTGTAAACGTCAAACGCAAAGGCATTTACTATGCGCACCACAGGTGGCGGTACTTCCAACTAAAAAAACATTTAAATTGACCGTTAAATGCGTGTTCGATGAACAACTTGTTTGTCTGTGGTTTTAGCATAACAATATATCAAGAGCAAATTTTCATTATGTCGTAAGTAACATTCGCACCGATCCGAGAAAAATAAAGTTTTGTTTTGATGACCGAAAAGTTATTCCTATTTCCAATTAAACACATATAATCTCATAGTGATAGCAATGTTTAACATATTCAGCCGGGTTTTAATCATACAAAGGCAAATCGCTAGCTTTCATGCTAAGAAATACTGGTTTTTGAGTCAAAAGTTATTATACGTCGTTTGGTGGCCCCTATTGTTACTTAAGTCAAAGTGTATTTACCAGGATATTCGGGAGAATTATCAATTACGTCTCCTTACGTGCAGCCCATTCATCATTTTAGGACCACCGAAATCATCTTAGCAACAAACAGTTCGATTTATTCACTTTAATAATGAGAAAGCGAAACGACGAACGTACACTTTTCACGGGTTTCTCAGCGCTGTTACTTAAGTCAAACGGCATCTCCAAAGAAATTGGGTGACTTAAGTAACATCGAAAACTATTTTGATCGGAAGGTGATTACGTCAAAAAGCAATTTGACTGGTAAATAAATTTAAAAATGGGATTTGATCCTATATTCGGACAGTATATAGTGTAATAGCAGGAGAATCGATTGACACTGATAGCTCGACTTTGTTTACCTTTGTTACATTCGACGTAATGAAAATTTGCTCTTGATATAAAAGGAATAATTGTTTTCTGTAAATAAAATTTAAGAAGTACTGTCTATTAGCTATATTTTTTCAGTCTTGTGAATGACTGATTTTTTTTTTTTCAAAGCAGCTGCAAAACGTGCTTTTATATGATTCAGTAATATTTATGAAAGGAATAATGCAAAAATGAAGAATTTATGATATAATACCAGTGGTGCTCATGTTGCCCCGAATGGACTTAAGTAATATTTTGTTAAGAAAATCTTTAGTGTTTATTAAAAACTAGAAATATAAGAAATCAATGACCATTTGTTAATCTGCTGAAGGAATATCAACGATAAGTTATAAGAAACTGCTGATAGAACTTATTTTCTGATTCAGAAGTCTTATAACATTTTTTTACATTTTTCGGATATTTGTACTAGAGAAAAGTAATTTTTAGACTAAAATGAAATGGATAGTTCAAGTGGCGTGGCAACATTGCCCAATTGGCCTTTTGCTCCACATTCCCCTACTTATCATTGGATGTGATGCAACGCCCATCATGCGATATGCAGCAGTTCGGGAATCATCAATAGAGGTGAACATTGTTTATATCATTTATCAGCATAATATTGATATACATATGTAAGGTAAGCTCCCCGACATTCATTGCTTGCAATAAGGGAAGAAGCGTTGAATCTAACATTTGGTAGTTCAACACTCTCGGAACGAATAGTAAATTAGCAAGTATCGGATGACATATCTTTTTCGGATCGAAGCTGTAGTTTTTTAGCTATTATACTTAAGGACTTTTAAGAGAAGTACTGAACAAGTAAAAAAAATGATCATGATGTGTTGGAAAAAAATTAAAAATATCAAATCTCACCAAAGCCCAAGATCAAGCTTGATTTTCGTAGACAAAAATCAACAAGCAAACAACTTCGGTTGATATCGCAAGCTGTGATGTCGCAGCTCGGAATATCAAGCTAACTTACTAAACTCTCCAAACTGCACATTAAAAGCGCTTCATAAATTTGGTTAATTTTTACTAACTTGTTCTATTCCTTGTACAATTTATTAATTTATTAGTGTTTAATTTATTGTTCCATTCTTGTTCAATTTATTATGTACTATTGTGATAGAAAATACTGTTTTTGTTTGTCGTAAAATGATCGTAAAATCGTGTAATGTCACTTGCACTCTTTATTGCTGTCAAAAAAGAAACGAGAAAATTATGATACATTTTATGAAAAGTTTTAAATATCACACTCAAAACTCCATATTTGTAAACAACATTGCTCCTTTGCATGAAAATAAGTACAAATTTGCATGAATGAATGTTTACATCACAATTAAAATTCGGATTTTTTTGCTGTGTATTACTCTTTAATCAGGATCGTTTTATCTATCGTTCAGAATCATAAGGGCCGAACTTCGGTTCTCTTTTATCAATAACTTGGCTAGATTAACATTTCTCGGTACGTTTGCTGTTGCCTTTGCTAGCCAGCAAAATCTTTTGCATCACAGTATTGGTACAATTTTGGAAAAATGAGTTAACGTCGTTGTCTCGTAGCTAAAAAAATAAAACATATTTCCTATCATACTCACTCTCTGCAAGGCATCGCAACAGCCGAGGATTGTCGAACGATTCTTCCTTTCCATTCAGAACGATCTTATTTTCGGTAAAGCTTTCGCACGTGCTGACCGTCGTTTTTGTACAAAGCTGAAATAAATTTACATTTCCGATGAGCGCATCATTTATCATCCATACCTATCTAATGAAACGAGATTTTCTCTTACGTGATCAGCGGACAACGTAGCACTAACGGAGTCATTCAGCGGTAAAATGAGGTCTTCATCGCGCTTTCCCCCTATTCGATGGATGGAACATTACCAGCTCGAATAACCATCATTGTTATCAAATGTTTAATTGTTAACGTTCACCGATACTTACAGTACTTTATTACCGCTATGTTTACAGGAGCAATGCAGGTTACAGAGAGCATTCTAAGGGACTGTTTTGGATTTAACCGACTACGTGGCTACAAGAATTAGATATAACGCAGCAAGCGATCACACAACGCATCCGTTTTTAGGAAGAACAGCTTAAACACTGTTTACAAGGTTCATAATAAATTTCTCTTTCAGCTTTCTTTATTTCGATATTCTGGAATGTAAACAGCCGGTGGTATGTGATAATGTATATACGACCAGCCAGGAGTAACGCTTGCTTGATGTGTGTGTATTGATATTTCAGTATAATATCAACTGTTTGCGGTTGTTGTGCGTATGATAGGTTTTATAGTACGTTCAGACTACAGAGTTATAACATGTTATAGCGCTATCTTGATGGTGGTTTCTGTGTTGCAATTATTTGACAACCGTTATAACATGTTATAACTCTCCAGTCTGGACAGCGTTTTATACGAGGCAGGAGTGTGCTGTCAACGGATCATTTATGAACGACTTTGATTCCAATCAAAACTAATCTAAAATATTGTAAATGAATAAAAAAGTCGAAACTCTTTACATGTTTTCTCAGAAGTTATGTCAAGAAATACCACAGTTTTATCAAAATACTTGCACACGGTTTAGATTACCGAAGTCGGTAAAATTTTACTGGGTTTTCAAACAGCTGAGTTTTCGGTAATCAACACAGTAGTTTTTAATTTAATGAAAACTCCGTAAACCGCAGAATCTCTGAACTATCAAAAATTACTGTATAAGTTAGTAAAGAAATTGCTGTCTATATCAGTAATTTATTTGTTTTAATTTATTTTTGCTGAGTTTTTCAATGTTTTTATTCCAGTATTTTGGTGAATAAGACAGAAAATTGATCAAAAAAGTAGTAATGATTTTTTTTTTTGGTTTTATACGATGGATAGGATTAAAATGTTTCTAATTTTTATACGATTATTATATGGGGACTGAGATTAACATGTTTAACGCTTCCTGGTGGTTCGGCCGGTTGGTGGCTCTCTTCGTGAGCCGGATTGCGTGTCCAAGTGTGGAGTTCAACAGCAGGTAATGTTAGTGAATTGTTCAGCTTGAAAATCAGTAAAACATCTGGAAGTCGTTGCAGGAGTGCATAAACTGTCCAATTCCGGGTGAGTTTCTACACTCATTCGTTGGCTTCCAGATGTTTCATTTATTTTCACAAAGATTTTCTATTATAACACAGAGATTTCCAAATAAGTTCGAGGTAAGTGCGCGATATGAAACGGAGGAGGATAGCGCAAGCAAGTTGACTTACGGGTGAGATCAGCAATTATGGAATTTCGTTCGATGACTGTTCAGTAAAACATAATGGATACTGTAAACTCGGTACTCTATTTTACTGAGTTTAAGTCATTCACCGTAAAGCTGTTATTTTATGGAAAATTCAGTACTTGCTATTACAGTTTGTCGCAAAAGCTACTGAACATCAGTAGATTTAATAAAAGTAGCTGAATGTTCAGTATATTTTGTGATTTACAGTTCGAAAACTGTAAAAAAATAATTACCGAACAGAAAAGCCGTGATTAAGTGTGAGTGTCTGAATTTCATAATCCCTGGGCATTGGCAAAACCTTGAGGTAGCTTGTAAACTACCAGATCTCAGGAACAAAAAAAAAAAACAAGCATATAATAATGCGTGTATGATAAAAAAATAGATAGAAATAAAGAAACGGTTATTTAAAGCTAATTTTAATAACAACTTTATAATTGAAAATATACAAATGTAAATAAATGTGTGATGTACACTGCCTATAACCGCATATCAGTCCCATATGGATTTTCGTCAATTTTGAGATAACACCGCTATCCACTATCAATTGGTATCTACTTTCATATTATGTGATAAAACTATGGACTTTGCTCATGAAAAATATGAAAACAAATCAAGTCAGCTTGTCACATGAAGCAAAGTAATCGCATATCAGTCCCATCCTAAAATTCAATCGTCCATAGTTCAAGTTAAAGTTCTGCTTTTCGAATCGCCATATTTTTCGCTTATATAACAGAATATGCAAGCTTCATTGTGATAGATTTTAACTTAAAAAATATCAATAAATTTACTATGATTTTTCAAATATTTACATGTAAATTGCACTTCGTAACTTCGACTGCCATTTTCTCAATGCCTACTTTTTCCATATGGGACTGATATGCGATTATAGGCAGTTTACCGGAAAATAAAAGACCAGGATGCAAAATTTATCACAATTAAATATAATGTATGTAAGTAGCCACCATCCTAGCTTGGGTCTTGCCCTGCATGCGGCTCCACTCAACAGCAAGATCAAATTCCGTCATCATTCTGAATTCAACATACTGCTGTATGAAGGGCCAAAAAGGGTTGGACGGGCCCATAAGCAGAGGCACTTACGCGAAACCCGCGGGAATAAGAGAATCTCCTTCCAACAATATGATCCAACAAAATGAATAACGAAATTCGCAATACATGTTGAGCTTTCCACGGGATGGTTTGTTAAAGAAGAGCGCGTCAAATTCATTGCAACTGTTGGAGTGAAATGTAACTATCTAAAATGACAGTACACATTCCCTCCTAGACTCCGGTTGGCACTCCACTCCATTGTCCAGTTACAACTTCAATGATGCCCTGATGCTCCCTCCCCTCCCAGTATTTATTGTAATTTACATTATGAATTTATATATAATCATGTGATATATCAAGAGCAAATTTTCATTACGTCGAAAGTAACAAAGGTAAACAAAGTCGAGCTATCAGTGTCAATCGATGCTCCTGCTATTACACTATATACTGTCCGAATATAGGATCACATCCCATTTTTAAATTTATTTACCAGTCAAATTGCTTTTTGACGTAATCACCTTCCAATCAAAATAGTTTTCGATGTTACTTAAGTCACCCGAATTCTATGGAGATGCCGTTTGACTTAAGTAACAGCGCTGAGAAACCCGTGAAAAGTGTACGTTCGTCGTTTCGCTTTCTCATTATTAAAGTGAATAAATCGAACTGTTTGTTGCTAAGATGATTTCGGTGGTCCTAAAATGATGAATGGGCTGCACGTAAGGAGATATAATTGATAATTCTCCCGAATATCCTGGTAAATAAACTTTGACTTAAGTAACAATAGGGGCCACCAAACGACGTATAATAACTTTTGACTTAAAAAATCAGTATTTTTAACATGAAAGCTTGCGAATTGCATTTGTATGATTAGAACCCTGCTATATATGTTAAACATTGCTATCACTATGAGATTATACGAGTTTAATTGAAAATAGGAATAACTTTTCGGTCATCAAAACAAAACTTTATTTTTCTCGGATTGGTGCGAATGTTACTTACGACATAATGAAAATTTGCTCTTGATATAATGTATATAAAATATGTAGTAGAATGAAAAATATAATAAAAAATAAAGATGTTTTACAAAATACAAATAACCTAGATTATTGGGTCCTATACACACACTTTTTGTTTTATGTGCCATGAAATTACATAATGCATAATTGTATGTTTTGAAAATATGATACTGAAGTATTGAATCAATAGACCGAAAATCGAGGTTATTTGGACATGAGATATTATATTTAAAAGGATACTACCAAACCGACCATCAAACGCACTGCCCACAAAAGCAGACACGTCCCCTCGAAAATGCAATCGAGGAATGTACAAGTACAATCCTCAACTGGAACGTACTCACCAAATCAATATATCCGGGAGCGCATTCCCGATGTCGTCAAACGGCAAAAAAGGGAACTCGGTGAGAAAATTTGTTATACGGAATTTTCACTGAAAACAACCGCGAATTTCACCATCTAACTGCGAAACACGTTCAGAAGCACTTTTGGTACACTTTCGATATCAATTTCTTTCGAAAAAACTTAATTATTTTTTTTTTGCAAAAATAGTTACAAGTGAACCAACATCAACACCGATCGTGCCAAGCTCTTTCACGCACCTTGCAGATATAATACAAATAAAACATTATCACTCGCGATGCCACAAATATCTGGTCCGAGAAAAAAAAATCAAACAACACAGAAAAAGCGAATTTATCACAATTAAATATAATGGACAGAAACTCATTGAATTGAATTCAACAAACGCTGTTTCAGTTTATCCCTTAAATGGATAGTGTAGCCATTTGGCAACATACCTTTGTTTGTCTTTAGACATGGTGAAACAACATTTTAATAGTAAGCGTATCACAAGAAAAAAAAAAATTCACCGCGAAAAAAAAAAAAAAAAAAACATGCATTTAAGGGTTATTTTTGAATACTGATGCAGAGTTTGATCTAACAGCTCATATAGGGGCAATGGCTCTAATGTTGGCCTATAGATCAAAGATTGGGCCCATCGCTAAAAATCTGCTATTTCTCAATTGTATCTAGATGATAGATAGGGACCTCCCTCAGCTCAGTCGGTAAAGGCGCAGCTACAAAGCCAGACCATGCAGGAGGTGGCTGTGTTCGATTCCCGGCCCGGTCTAGGAATTTTTCGGATTGGAAAATGTCTCGACTTCCCTGGGCATAGAAGTATGATTGGACTTGCCACACAATTATACCAATGCAAAAATGGTACAGGCATCCAAAGCTCTCAATTATTAACTGTGGAAGTGCATCTCGAACACTAAGTTGAGAGCACGCAATAAGCTAAATATGCGATAAGCAATAAGCTTGAAATGCGAAGAAGAAGAAAGAAGATCTAGATGAACGCGTCATTGGGACGGTACTAATGGATATTTTTGGTTGCTATTGAAAATTTAGTCGATTGCTGAATTTATGTATGGGCCCAAATTAGGGACACTTAGGCCGACATTACATACCCCCTACTATGTTGAATTCTCGACATAGCGCAATTATGAGTCCATAGTCTGTTCTCTGGGAATCCATCCTTAGTGGGTCTCTAATCTGATGGTCTAATCTTAGTGGTAAGGATTCTGATGGAGCGTTTATGTTTATTTTGTCCATGATGCTTGGTGCGCAGACAAACACCTTGCAAAAGATTTCCGGTAAATAATGCTAGTAAATTTAGTAGTACAGTGACCTCGTAAACTGTGAAGTCTTTTGTTGCCCGCATGATGAAACCAATTACCAATTATCAATGAACAAATAAGATGTATATGTATGCACATAATTTGAATGAACTTCAACAAGGGAAAATAACAAACAATTGATTATTATTAATAAGATTTTTTATGAGTACCGAAATCGTAAACGTGAACGTGAAACGTAAAACGTGCCCTATATTTCTCGAGAATGAAATCTCGGCCGCTTTGACTAATGCTACGTTTTCCTATGATTAAAGGGACATTCGAAGAAATACACATTTATTTAACGAAATAAATAATTCTGTCATAAACAATGTCATGATATCCAATACCACCGGATGCAACATTTTTTAATTCAATTTTTATTCAGCTGTTTAAAAAAAAAAGTATGGTTTCTGAGGTTAACTTTGCTGCGCATACAATCATCGATGAATAAAATCGATTATCGCAGTTGGGTCCTTATGATTCTGAACGCTAGAATATGGTTTATTCAAACTTGTAGCATTATCTTATATTCTCCGGTTGGATTTGAAGAGATGGGCGGAGAGAATGTTTTGAGCCAAATGAACTGTCAAAATCTTAGTCAATAGAACATTCCCATTAATTTTTTCCAAGGACTTCTTACTAGATTAAATTTGAGAGTATTGCAATAGAACAGCAATTCAATAACCAAAAACCCCACCGACCTCAGCTGGGATTGAACCCAGACCCATTGGGATGAGAAAGCAGTCACGCTTACCACTGCACCACCGGCGCCGGCTACTGTAAATTTATCAAACATCATGATTTTCATTGTTGTGAACCATGAATTCCGTTGTGATTTTATGGTAATCGACAAAAATGTCCAAAGTTTTGACTTATATTGATTTATATTGGATTTTTTTTTACGGGTATCTCTCCCTCTGAGTATTTCTAGTTTGAGCTAATAGTTAAAAGGATGCGAGTATTCATAAATTCAGTGCCAACATTTCAAAGGGGCGTAATTGCTTTTGTAAACAATGACTTTAGCCGTCAATTTCTCACGAATGAAATCTTACTTCTTTAAAATTACAATGCTAGCTGGTAGACGAAACATTCCTCTACCTGCTGGTGTCATTATTTTTCATGAGTGAGCTTTTATTCGCGAGAAATCGACGACTAAAGCCATTGTTTACAAATGCAATTACGCCCCTTTGAAATGTTGGCACTGAATTGAATTTGTGTTAGTACCGCAACTGATTCAACTCTTTAGGCGTAATATCATCCATCCGTCAAACTGACACTGACGGTAACGTATTGAATGCGTTAAATTTTGAACAGGGATCACAGAGCATAAAAAACGCACGTGGTTTTTCACCCCCTGAGTCCGTAAAACGTGCATTTGTTTACATCCAATCAACCAATCAGAGCGTTTGTTGTTGTTTTCTCAACCAGCTGATTTTGAAGCATCGTGCAGCTTTGTCGTTATTGATTTTTCAAATTTCATCGATTCACTCGACGAAGTCGCAAAAGTGTGAAAATACTCGTACTACTTCGCAACGGTGGAAATATCGTCCGTTGGAAAATTGAGAAAAGTGATGAATGTTCGCGCATTTCATCGCTGAGTTATAATTCATTGTGTTCACAATGATGGAACTGCTGGACTCGGGTAGATATAGTGAAAGTTTTCATGAGATTTTCGTTAAAAATCTCGCAAACAGGTATTTTCCTTAATGGACGACTGGTTTCCATTGTGAATTTTTTCCCAGATAAATAACTCATACCTAATCTCATTTGACACATACAAAACACATTCCATTTATTTGAATATGCTTCAGGAAAAATAAGGATGATAAAATTAAGCGTAAGGAACGTAACATTCAGGTAACTGTGGTAAGGCGTATTTATGCAATTTTAGTATAAGTACAAAAATGGCCGCCATTTTTTTGCTATATTCTCACCCTCTTATTTTCAACCACCCCTTTTGAACTGCCAAACAGGGTGGTGTAAGGGGGTGAGAAAGTTCATTGTACTTTTTGATCGATTGTTTTGGTTTTGGCAGTGATGCTAGTTATTTTTAGTTGCATTGTAACTATTTTGGCGGTAAAACTAATTTGAATGTACCACAACAGGAAGGCGAATCGCTATTATCATGGATCGAGGTAGCTCCCAATGCGTCCAAATTTGCCATCTACAATGCAATTCGCTCGATTGTCCTGGAGGTTGAGACCAAGAATTGCAGGACCAACCCTTTGGGGGGACCTTCAAGTAAGCTGGTAAAATCGTTTTGCTACCATCAGAACGCGGGAAATGATAATGATCAGAACTGCCTCTCGTGCAAGGAGAAATCCAAGGATGTTGGATCGTTTAAAGATGCAGACATTCCGGAGTTTGATTTCGAGGATAACTTTGAACCCGAAGAGCTGCAGACATGTAACGTTCCGAAGATCGTTGGTGCGGGACTGGAAAGTTTGTTCGAAATCATATCAGAAACTCGCACGGAACATCCCAGAATATGCACAAAGGCACTGAAGTCACTCTATGATATTATACAAGGTAATATATAAGTTATAATTTAAGTAATCGCTCCTTTTCATTTGTTTTCGAAAAACAATAAAGTAGTCATTTCTCAACTACAAGATTCGGTGCAGGTAACTTATTAGTTACTTTGGTTACTTTTTTTTTTTGAGCCGGTCATTCAATTTTTAATTGTGTGGGTAAAGTAAAAAATTCTAACGAATTACAAAGTTTTAATACTTTCTGTCGGACGATCAGAAGTACTGCTGTACGATCAATTTTGAGATACACTGTGATATCTAAAATAACTGTTCATTACATAGATCTTTTTCTCTTCTTCTTGTCTTTTGCTGCTCTGACACGAGCTTACGTCTACTCTCAACTTCGTGTTCTTTGAAACATTTCCACAGTTATTAATTGAGAGCTGTCTATGCCAACCAATGCATGAATTTGTATATTCTAGATAGAGCTGGAATTAGGGCCTAACAGCTTTTGTAAACAATGACTTCTCTTGATGATTTCTAGAAATTCTAGGCTCGCCCACGCAAACCAACATCCTCATCGGGTAGGGAAAGACTTCCACTATCCGATGGTAAGGTTGGTCTGCATGGACGTGCCTTGAATTCCTTGAAATCATCGATAGAAGTCATTGTTTACAAAAGCTGTTACGCCCTAATTCCAGCTCTATCTAGTATTATGTGGCAAGTACATTTCTAAACCAAAAGATGTTCTACACTGAAAAAAGTTTTCATATAGTTTCCATTGGGCACGCACTTGATATTTTTCCAATAACAAAATTAATGATTTTTATCTGAAATTCACATAACATTAATATGATCACATGAATTCTATGTGATAAATCACATAAACTTCATTGGACACATAAGGTTCATGTGATATCGTGGTGCGATTCCCAATTATGAGATCACATCAAAGTTATGTGAAATTCTAATGGATATTTTCCATCGGAAATGTGATTTATTTTTTGAGTGTAGGGAATCGAATCCACCGCCGCTGGCTGGGTACACTCAAAAAATAAATCACATTTCCTATGTAAAATATCCATTAGAATTTCACATAACTTTTATGTGGAAAATATCCATTAGAATTTCACATAACTTTTATGTGATCTCATAATTGGGAATCGCACCAATCACATGAACCTTATGTGTCCAATGAAGTTCATGTGATTTATCATATAGAACTTATGTGATCATATGAATGTTATGTGAATTTCAGGTAAAAATCATTAATTTTGTTATTGGAAAAATATCATGTGCGTTCCCAATGGAAATCGGGTATTGATTACCCCCTCCCGAGAAATCGACGGCTAAAGCCATTGTTTACAAATGCAATTACGCCCCTTTAAAATGTTGGCACTGAAATGATCGATTAAAAAAAAAGTGTTGATATTGTTGATTCAACAAACATGAATTGTTAATTCAAAGACAGTTAGCCAATAACAATCGAGAAGCAATATTGTGTTCGAAAGGATTTTTTTTCTATTTCAAAAATACGGTTGCATTATATCAAACAAAATGACAGAATTATGTCCATATCACAGTGTCACAGTGAGCTTTAAATCAATATTATAAAATGTCTAAAAACCCGTCAGTGGACCTCAACCTTAAATTGTACGGTGAAAAGTTTTTATTTCAAAATTCATGTAGGCAGTCACCTTTATTTCAAATAGGACATCTATACTATTTTAATCTAAAACTAACTGAACTAAGTGAACTGTTCAAAAATATTTTCCCATTTTTTTTCTTCAATTTCAGGTCAAGATCCAGAAAGTTTCCGGAACGAACCGGACAAGCTGTTCAACTCACTGTATGACATTTTACTCGAAATCGCCACTATGCACAGTCAATCACCAGCCAATGCAAGCCTTCACCAGAAAGACACAAACTGGTCTTCGATCAGTTGTTCCACCCTGTTGGCACTCTGCATCGCCAAGGGGGACACAGGCAAGCTGCTAAAAGCCGTCACGTCAATTCTAATGTCACCGAAAATTCTCTCCGGCCAGTTGATTCAACTGCCGCAAAGCATAATCAAACTGCAACGCAGCGTTCACTCGGTAGCACTCGGAAAGCTGAATATTCCTGATTACTACGCATATGGAATCTCCAAAAATAGTCTCATAGATTATGTAAGTTATACAAGGCAAATAGAGCTATGTTCCGTGGCTTCCGATTTCAATATGATCCTGATTAATCCTCTTAAAAATATCCTTCCACAGTTCACCATCAAGGATTACATGTTTGTAGAAAAAGTGTTTGTCCCCAACTGTATTGCTTCTGATGGGCGATACATTTATATTCTGATTTCAAAATCGCTGGTAAAGATTGGCTCCGGATTCAATGGGACTGTGCCGGGATTCATATACGGCATTGCAAAAGATTTCGGTAAAGATCGAAACGAGTGGATCGGATACTGTAACGTAAGTTCCCTTTCGCTTGAATTAAGTGTTGTTTAACTGTGAAGCGTTTATAATTTTTAGAATAAATTATTCTACAAGAAATTGTCGAAGCGGAACATGGATAACCTGCTAATAGTCGACACGGAAACCCTGCAGATAACTGGTTCCATTCAAACTCAAGCATCCATCTCGGTAAAGGATGGCAACAATTGCCTACTATTCACCGATGGCGAATCAATATGCTGCATCTGTACTTCTTCAGGAAGCGTAAGTTCCACAAGTATTTCAATGAATACAGTAGACTTATCGACACTTCTATTTCAGGACAATCTATTGGTTAAGCAGTTATACTCGAAAAATTCCTTCGCATTCGATCTCAATCTCAAGCTTGCGAGGAACGGTTTCCATACACTGGGATACTCGATTTTTGAAGAGGAAATACTTAGCGAAAACCAACTGAAGAAAATACAGAACTCGAGCAACGGTTTCCTACCAGCCATGCCCAATGAAGTTAACCTCAGTGGTATATCGTGTGGAAAGGAGTTTGGTTTGGTGCTGGGGAGTAATGGAAAAGTATTCTATTATGGCAAGGGCGGCAGTCTAGGGCTAAAAGCTGTCGGGAAGAATCCCAGCCTGAAGCTAAACGAGATAGTGATTTCGAAAACAACCAACTTCACTCAGGTTGCCGTCGGACACGATGGCATCCATGCATTGATGTTGAACGAGGATGGAACTGTTTTCTTTGCTGGTAGGAAAATTACGGGACTTTTTTTTTGTTGGGAATTTATTATTGATTGAATAATTTACAGGCACTGCTCGTAGAGGCGAAGATGGAGAACAATCTAAAAATCGCCGCCAGCTCAAAGCCGTTAAGCCAAAGAAAGTCAGTAAAATTGATGGATATTTCATTACCAACGTGTCCTGCAATAATGGTAAGAAAGCCGTGAAATATGTCACTGAATATACGATAACTCATTCTGGTATATTATTTTAAAATAGGAACCTCAGCCTTTGTGACCAAAGACGGAAAGCTGATCATGTTTGGTAAAGATACCAACTACTGCGATTCCGCAGGAATTGTTACCGGTCTCAATGAGGTGCAAATAGTTAAGGTGGGATTGGGCAAGGCGCATTGTGTAGCTCTCGATGCCAAAGGTCAACTCTATACGTTTGGACTGAACAATAAGGGCCAGTGTGGAAGGAAGTTTACTAAAGATCGCAGTGGTACGTATATGATGCCGATATTTCGTTGAATAGAAAAAATCAAATAATCAAACTTGTTTTTGTTTTTCAGACGATACATTTGACCCTAAACCAAAACTGCCCACCTTCAAACCAATGTGTCCGATCGATGAACACAACATTATCGACGGCAAATGCCGGGTAGGATGGAATTGCGACCAATTTCCTATGTTTTAGAAATATGTTCATTATTTTTGTGTTACAGATTTGTAATGTGTGCCGCGAATGTACCGGTTATAATACTGCTTGCGTGTCAACGAAAAAAACCTTCGTTAATGAACGTGTCCCAGGAACGTAAGTATAGAAAGGACCTCCATATGTTTTCTCCGATTATATGCTCCAGTTTCAAAATACCTCTATTTTCAACAGTTCTTGACAAACTTACAGCTACAATGTTACACTCAAAATAATCTACACGTTGAAGCTACGTGAAAAATCACGCAAGCTCTCAATTTTTCCTCTCCTCTCAGTTTTACGGGGTAGAATGTATGTGATGTCCTTTGAATTTCACAGGGAGTTAATTTTTAACACACCTACATAACAATGAAATGTATGTGATTTTCACATAACACTGAGTCTATTTGCGTTTCACGTAAAGCTTATGTGATTTCCACAAATGAGTGGTACGTGCACTCAGAGCGGTGCACAAATCAAGGCAGCATCATGATGTGCTGTGTTCGGTAATTTTTAAAGATAGTGGCAAAATGTAAGTATAACATAATGGATTATCTTTAACATGGATCTTTAACAAAAAAAAAACTGTCTGTTTCTGATGTCGAGATGTCCAGCAGTTTCTTCCTCTAAGAAAAAAGTATCTCGACCCATTTCTATGATAGTCCAGATTGTTTGTGCTGCGTATCGAGTATTTAAAGAAAATCTGATGTAGTGTATTCAGAATATTTGAATAAATTAAAGGAATATTATTGAATAAATTATACTATTATGAATACAGTAAAGATTGTATTAAGAAAATATTTGTATGAACAGTGTCAAAATATTGATACTAGAATCTTTTATATGATAATCCTGTTACGGTTAAGCTTCATGAAATGAGTGACCCTACATGAGAATGACGTAGCTCTTATGTGAAAAGTATGACGGAAAAATTCTACGTATGTTTTTACGTAGGATTTACGAGAAAATTATTCTGAGTGTAGAGAGTTGCATATCTAGGTTTGATTGATAATTGATGTGTGACGAGTACAGTAAGTGATTTCAATGAAAATATTTTTCCAAAGTATTCGGAAGTTGTCAGAACCTTGGGAATCTGCATTTCATATTTTATCCTACTGCAAGGAGACAGTGAAATATTATTTTTTCGGGATTTACCTACTGCACCTTATCACCGAATCACTAACGTTTCTATACCGTCTAACATTGTTGTATTGTTGTAATATTTTGTTCACGTTTATTTAGTAAGGGAACCTGCATAATGACGTAGCATATGTTTGACCAATTTTAGACACCCCCACCCCTCGTTGCGTATTTTGCTTTACTGCCGATACTCGCATAATAGTCCCATCTTTGCTTGATTTCCTATTCATATGGGACAGTTATGCTTTTATGGGCAGTATACCTCATGTCCATTTATTTTCACGGCTTCACCCTCCTTCCCGCACCACCCTCCTCCTTCCCGCTCCACCCTCCTCTGATCGTCACCATTGAAAACAATCTTCAACTCACCGCGAAATTTCTCACCAGCATGACGAGTGTAATCTATTAATTAATTTCAAACCAGCATACATGCACGTTCTTTCATAATCTACTAAAACCCATTTCTTTGCATTGATTCGCATGATTCTCCGGTGAAACTAATTAGACCCGGAAGGGAAGTAAAGCCGCTGGTCCCAGCCCATGTGTTGATGGGTTCGATATAGAATCGCATTCAGTGATTCGCAGTTATGTGGCAAAAAATTATCGAAAAACTAACTAGACTGTAATCAGTATTTTTTTAGTTCCTTCTACCTAACTTCAGGAATATCAAGTACTACTGAAAATTTGACTACTTTGAACCTGTTGCATTCAGTGACTTTTTGTCGCGTAACTTTTAATAATTCACTAAGTCTCTGTTTCTACAGACCCTGTGCATGTGGCCACGGAAGCGCTGGTTGCTCCAAATGTGGCAGTTGCAGTACGTGTGTTGCTTCTCAAGAAAATGGTTCTCTGCCATTTGGTAAGTAGAAATAGGTATTTTGCGTACAGTATTTGATAGCAAATATTTCGGCGATTTCAGAAAACAATGCTGATGTTCAGTCCAATGCCGAAAAGGTAAAGGAAATCTTGCAACGAAGGTACGAAAATCTCAGACATGGAGAAGAAGGAAGTCAATTCTCCGATACCGACACACCTCGTGTGATTCCGGTTCCTCCCCAGAGAGTCGAACTACCAACGAAAAGCCCTATTGTCCAAATAAGTTGTGGACTACATCATACCGTGGTATTGACGCTATCCGGCGAGGTATTTACATTCGGTAGTAACCAATTTGGGCAGCTAGGAACAGGTGACTTGCAGCCCATTTCTGGAGCTCATCTTGTTAAAATACCACACATGGTTAGTCAAGTAGCAGCCGGTAGTAATCATACGGTTATTTTAACGACAAAAGGCATTGTGTACACATTCGGAAATTATCAAAAGGGGCAACTTGGTAGGCTACCAGGGGAAACCAACTTGACCAGCGGAATGGATATTTACGGTGGCTCAAACAGCACTCAATCCGGCAGACCCGAACAAACAAATGAGAAGTCATCCGTAACAGATATTCTTCTTCAAAGACAAAAATTTTTATGGAACTGCTCTCCGGGAGCTGTTGCGTAAGTATTATTTGTAGCCTGTAAATAATCAGAAATCGTAACTTTATAACGAAGAATTGCTCCCTAATCCTCCGCAAAGCGCTCAACTAGTGCTTAGCTACTCAGATGTATAGCCCCCTCTTCGTATATTTTATTGTTAGCTAAAGGAGCATAGCCGCCGTGGGCAAGCTTCTAAAAAATGATTCATTTAGCAACTTGTGCGTCGTTATGCTCCTTTAACAAAAAAAAACACGTGTATAATGGTAAACATAAGTAGCTACGTGCGCCAATTATTAGACGTTTTACGAATGTTTAGGGAACATTGCAACGAAAAAAAAATGCCCTACTTTCTAACATGCTGCTTTGTATACTTTCAGAGGAATCGGTCCATCAACGGGCAAGAAAGCCTCCTGGATCGGAGCTAGTGGTGATCAGACCTTTATCAAGATTGACGAATCGCTTGTCAATGCGTCGATGCTGTCGAAATTTAGTGTTGTCGCCGATGAAAACACTATTCTCCTTATTCCGAACAGCCAAAATCAACTGAACTGTATTGCTATCAATAGGCGTAATGGAAATTGTAAAGCGCACAACGCAAATCAGTTTGACTTTAGGGCTGTTACTGATAAAATGGACGAAAAGGACAATTTCGGTGGAAGAAAAAGAGTGAAAGTCCAACAACACCAGCATCAGCAGCAACAACAACAACAACAACAACAACAGCAACCGTATCACAACGTAGATGGAATTCTGGAAAACCAAGAACTACCGGATTCTGACATGTGCTATGATTCAAAGTACTCCATAGATGCTAACAAGCATCCAAACGTTAGCTTTGCCTTTGCGATGGATCCTAGCTTCGGTGTGCTGTGGGGATTCGACAGTGTTTCGAAGACCATGATGTTTTTCAACGTGATTGCGTCGGAAATTTCACCTTGTTCTGAGGTACCATTTGTGCACTTTATCTAGTTTTGATGGTCATACAAATACTTATTTTAGAATGCCAAGGATTTGGTCGCCATTTTGACTCCAGAAATAGCCCTTCCCAAGCAGTCGGAACATGAAGTTACCCGGTACCAGGCATCGCTCAACATTCTTGCTACATTGGATATTCTAACTACAAATCAGAAAATTCTGTGAGAATTTAATAATATTGCGATCTGATATAAAATCTAAACTGTCATTTGTTTTTTTTTTTTTCAGCAAAAAGTGCTTTGTGCCTTCTGAGATTGGGCTCAAGATAAGTGTGGACGGCAAAGAAAATTGCGAATACAACACAATTTGTCGGTTTGAGAACTTTGGAGGAGGATGGGGCTATTCGAGCTACAGTGTCGAAGCTGTTCGTTTTATGTGTGACACAGATGTTATCATAGGTAAGATCTTGGTTGACTACTTTGCTGTCGGTGCCACATAACTGCCCCATTTTATAAGGTAGATCCGCTCTAAACGGGGGAGGGGCGTTTAGAAATATGTGTCCAGTAATGTATAAGGTATAGGAAAACGTAATGATTAAGCTAGGGTTTATTGTTTTTAATTTGCACGTAACGCAGGGTGTCGACTACCTTGAAAATCAGAGAATATCAGGAAATTTAATTCAAATTCAGGGAAATATTTCTTAAAAAAATACTCAAATAAAAGGGTATTTTGCGCCTAATATAAATTCAGCTCCCACTGGGTGTTGACACATTTCTGAGTTGAGCTGAGATCCTGAGGGTTGATAAAAATCTATTCCGTAGACACTAGACAGTTGTTGCAAAATTTAACCTACAAATGGGTATGTTCGTCGCTTGATAGATCTTGCACCTAATTGCGTCTGACGTAGATCCTTTGGGCGCATTGGAGCGCTTTTGAGTAAATTCAAGAATGGTAAAGAATTAAGAGAAGAGGGTGATTTTTTTCTAAACACTTGTAGTTCTTGTTCCTTATTGCGTTCTTAACAACATGATTTCTGCCCTTTTGAGCATACTAAGTACAAGTCTTGTCCCATTCGTTAAAACAGCAATCTGAGAAAAACGCTGTTGAAGATTTTTTTCTTCATCGGCTCTTATGGAAGGGACAACATAGTTTTGGTATTTTTCGCAACATTTTCTGAACAAAGTAGGAGGAACCTTTCGTGTACATTGTAAAGTAATGGTACTTGACAATCGATTCCAATGTATAAATCATATCCGCCAAAAATGCTAATGGGACTGTTATGCCGCATAAGAGATGAACTAGCCTCAGGCTAAAAATCTCTATAATAAAAAAAAAAAAAAAAAAAATGTTATGCCGCACAAAGCAGATTAGCTCAGAGAATTAACTAAATGTGAACTTTGACTATACGTTTTAGTATTACTTCTGTGTGAAGTCAACGATTTACATAGTTGAAGATGCTAATTTCAAATAACAGACTAAAGTGGTAATTTTTATACGCTAGATGGGGAGATGAAAGTATAGAATTGATAGTTCCGCTAGAGTACGGCAGTTTGAAAATTGCATATAGAGAGTAGAAAGCGAGCAAGGACAACTTTAAGAAGGTACAAATCGAAGGTACCTTCCTAAAGTTGTCCTTGCTCGCTTTCTACTCTCTATATGCAATTTTCACACTGCCGTACTCTAACGGAACTATCAATTCTATACTTTCATCTCCCCATCTATCGTATAAAAATTACCACTTTACTCTGTTATTTGAAATTAGCATCTTCAACTATGTAAATGTGAATTTAGGATAATGCTCTTGCTTGGGTAGATTTTTTCTTTGATTGCATGCCATTTGTGCTACTCAAGAAGGAATTCTTATATTATTTCAGCTGGTTTCGGCATGTATGGAGGACGTGGTGAGTATACCTGCAAGCTGAAACTGTTCGACCAAGGATACGACGGTGGTGCCAATGAAAAAGACGGCATACTGATATCAGAAGTGGAAGAAGTTCCCTTTGAATGTCCATCCAAATGCAAATTCAACATTACTCTCCCCAGTCCGGTAACGATTAGCGCCAAACGGTGGTACTTGGTGTTGGCCAAAATCTCCGGCCCATCTTCGGATTGTGGTTCTTCGGGACAGTCAACTGTTACCACTTCTGACAACGTGGTGTTTCACTTTAAAACGTCGAAAAAGGCCAACAATGGAACGACAGTCAATTCCGGACAAATTCCATCCATCCTGTATCGAATGATTTCGCAGAACAGTAAAGCCGTTTTCCCCTCAGTCTCAGCCGATCCGGTCTGCAAGCTATCGAAAGTATTCGCTAATACACTGACCAAGGATTGCTTCGAGAGCTTGGTGATGCTGTTGAACTGGTCCTGGAGTTCTTTCAAAGTGTCGACTACGGATTTGCTGGAAACGGTAAAGTTTTGTTTCATTAGAAAAATGTTCTTGTAAAAAAAGAATTCTTTCCCTTGAATTTCAGCGAAAAACTAATCAAAACGTCATCTCACTCAACCGATTGGTATACATTTGCAAAGCAAGCCTAAGACTCCTTCGTAAATATATCAACGAAATTTATCCATATAAAGGATTCAACAATGGAGAAAAACCGTCGAACAAAGCAAAAGTCAATACCAGCAGACCTGATTCTAAGTTGGAAAAATCACCTAAGAACAAAGCGTACGATGGAAATGGTTTACTATCATCTGTAGACAGCAAGTCCGATATGCTCAAAGTCAACGACATCAATATAATGGAAATCAACACTCCGATGTCGAATAAGAAGATAGCATCTGAAAGCATTCAATTGGCTGAATGCATTGGTGACGTGCGTGCCCTGCTAACTCAGATCCTGTGTGATGAATTGCCCTATCAGTCTGGCAATGACATTTGCACCATGATATTGGACGTTCTGGATGAATGTCACACAACATTCGTCAGCTGCTTCAATGCATTCTATCCTACGTCTTTTCTCAAGTGGAACTGCATCTGCAATCTTCTGGCCCAAATCGATAAGGGTATCTTGCATTCTCGTCTGCTGAGTGGCGTGCTGGCTGGACTGTGCGATCCAAACATCAACTTGCGATCAACTTTCTCAGTGCTGTCGCCGAATGTGGAATATAAATCACTCATAAGTCCCAGTGACAATCTGGGATTCCCGATGCTAGTGAGCTCGGAAAACTATCAATATCCCATCCTGGTGGAGCAGATGTTGTATCGGACACAGAAGGAGAAAACTATAACTTGCAATTCCTGGACTTTCAAGGATGTACTAAGTCGCTTGCTGGACATCATCTCCAAACCCATACGATTGAAGATTGAAAACATTTATAATAATCATGGGATCGATATCTACAACGGAGATGCAATGAAACGGCGTTTGAACAATAACCTGATCACAAATTCTTGCCGTTTGTTGTCCAAGGTGCTAGCTGAAATTATTTACCAAAATTGCACAATTGATGTAAGTGGTGAAAACAAATCTATGTTAATTGAGCATATCTAAAGAGTCACATAATTTTCCTTATTCAGACTGAAACGGCGATTGTGCCATCAAATGTTCTGCATTCAAGCGGAAACCGCTTCGCTAAGGTAGACGTTAGCAAAACATGGAATACTGGAAACTTTGGTCCGGATGCGATCGCATTCACTGTCGATCGACCAGGAATATCGATTGCTGGAGCCTGTGTAAGGCAAACTCGGTGGTGTATGACAAATCTAGCTTTCAGAATGAAAAGGGCCAAACAGCGATGATCGATTTTCTCTTTAGGTAACGGCAGTTAAGTGAACAACTTGCCCATTATTTCCCAGGTCAGTGTTGTAAAAGATACTACTGACTATACCTATAGCAAAAACATCAGCAAACGCACCTACCGAAGAGGAAATCGATGAAAAGAATCGATCATCAAGTTAGGCTCTTATGATTCTGAACGCTAGAAATAGAGTATGTTTTAAATAGTTTTTTATGCTCATTGCAGGTTTATTCCGGATCCGGGAGCTACGAATACCAGCTGGAATTGTTGTACGATGTAAGATTCTTCTTTAATGTTTATGAATATACCGGCAAGGTGACTTGCAACACTGTTTAGTCTGCTAAACCATAAAATTAATGTTTTTAATCAGAGTAGGGTCGGGTGGGACAAGAGTGCCACCCTCAATAATTTTGAAAAAAAAATTTGCAATGCTATCTCGCCCATAAATGAATGGTGTTCCTATGCAGCTTTATAGAAAGTTCTGTTTAAAATGAAGTCTTACAAAAATTGCAAAAAATCATGTTGTACTCATGGGTCGAAAATCGAATTTATTTATAATAATTAGGTAGACATCATCGACGGAAAACAAATCGTGAAAAAAAATGGTTGATTTGTTATGCATTGAATAATTTTGCAAAATACAATAGCTAAATTAAGTTCATAATAACATCTGTTGCTAGATGATTAATAATCAAATGCGATGTTTATAAACAAGCATTAATCGATTTCATTCAATTTCCAGACGCATGGCCCTTTTGTCCCATAGGAGTTGGCATTCTTACCCAATGGTAGATTCAAAAAAATATTTGAGATGACATTTTGAAAAAATCGTAAACAACTTTTGACGAGATTTAATTTGCATTACATTGCTGTTGTATGAAGGCAATGATATGAAATTGCAAAACGATACACAAACTCCTACATATATCCACTATTTGGCATATGTAGAACGTACCATTGTTAAGGTGGCAGTCTTGCTAAAAACAATGAACAATGAATTATCGGCTCCGTAAAGTTAACGCGATTGAGCCTTTCATATGAACGAACTAGATAAAAAGGTGGCACTCTTGCCCCACTAGACCCGACTCTATACGATAGTTTTAATTAGAATTAATCAAGGGCCACCCACATTACGTCCAGATCTGAAGCGTTGCGGCAAAGTGACAGCTAAATCTATTGTCTAACTGTCAAATTTACGCAACGCAACCGGATCTTAAGAGCAAGCAATGGGCGGAAAAAATCAAAATAAATTTCGACAGCAGGGTTGTACGTAGGGTAAGGTGGGACAAGAGAGGTCATCTACTAGGTTTATTTTTTTGTTTATCAAAATATCAACAGGCTGTGTGTGCTGGATTGAAAAAGCAAAGGATCATTGAGGTTGCATTTAACCTGCAAACTTTTCCAGAAGGTAATATTTGACATGACTTTCTTGAAACAGAAGAGTGGAAATTAATTAAATATATCTCAAAGTTTTGCACGAATCTTCAATACGTTCCTCAAAAACTAACTAAAAAAACTAATACATAGTATATTGGGGTCATATTTGACCCAAATTTCAAACCTTCGTAGAATTGTGAAATTTTAACCGACCAACATTGTTTATACCTCATTTAAAAGGTACACGTATTTGCGAACAAATTTACAATACATGAAATACTTTTTGCAATTAACTCAATATTTAGTAGTTCATAAATCGGCATGATTTTGATCAATTAACAACATTGTTTTGTTGTGGTACTGGGTAACTCCTGAAATGTAATTGTACAAGTTATTTTTTTTAATTACCTACGTCTCAAAAACAGTTTTATGCTTAAACATTTAATTCAAGTTAGTATTGTTGGTAATTTCAGAGCATGGAATCGAAAAGCCAACTTCAGCACAAATGGGAAGTAATCGAGTCGGTCGTTGGGGCTTACGAGCAGAGTATGGTTAAGAATTTCATGACTGAAATCAAGTTTGATCGCGCAATCAGTGTCAAGGAAAACGTCCGGTATGCATTACGTCTTTGCTCGCAAGGTGCCCGGACGTGCTCCGGCGATGGAGGATTCGCAGCGATCCGCGGTCCGTGCGGTGCCACGTTCAAATTTTATCCTTGTGATTTAAGTTTCAACGGAACCACTCCGGCTAGAGGGCAAATTCCCTGTATCCTGTATTATAGTATTCCGTCGATCAATGATAGCTACGCCGGGAAGTACAGCAAGGAATCACATGCACGAGACATTGCACTGCAGATATCGACGGACGTCACGGCTAGATGCAAAGACCTTTTGATTCATGCTAGAAATGCAATCGCGTTTTCGTCAACTTCCAGTGATAAAAGCTCAAATTCGTCTCACAACACCCACACAGTGGATTCAGAGCATAACATCACTCCCATCGAGGAACATCTGGACATTGCCTGGATTAACAATTCAGATATTGCAAACGTGAATAATGTGACAAGCAGCAGTTTCGATCATAATAACTCGTCCACTGCGAAAGATATCACAAAACGCATTGAAAACTTTTCAAAAGGAATCATAGAAACGTTGAAATTTGACAAAAAATCAAGGAACTCCATCGATTTTGACATAGAAATCGATATAGGCGCAGAAGAAATTACACCGAACGATTACATCGATGATCGAAACAACAAACTAGACTCAATATCGAACGGAAACACTTCCGGTTTGGGAATGCATAGCAAAGCCGATAATTTTTCAATACTCAACGATGCTGGAAGCGATGCGGAAGAGTTCAACCATCAGTTAAATCAAGAACGCATCATTCAGCTGTTCTCGGCAGAAGATTCTTGCCTGTTCACAATGCTACTGCCATTAACATTTGCTCACATCGGACCGCTTGTCTGCAGCAACCTGAAAAGCTCAGTTGAAGTGTTGGGTCTCATTCGTGCGATTCTGCCACATGTCTCTGCACTGAATCAGATAAATAATTTCAAATTGTACGATCTTGGCAAACCGGACATGGGTGAAGTAATTCGCAAAAGCATGAGCACCGATCAGAACGATTTATGCACAACTAGTCACTACTATTGCATTGTTGAAAGCGACCATCCATATAAATCGAGCACAGTGGCAAATTATCGTGTAGAGTTCCCACCAAACGTCCGCTGGATGACGATTGAGTTTGATCCTCAGTGTGGAACAGTACAGCCGGAGGATTACGTGTTCGTGAAAATTCCTCAAGATCCGGAGAAGAGTAAAAATGATGCAGCCTTTATAAATGATAACTATGCATCAACAATCAGCAGTCGCAAGAGTAAGGAGGTTAAGTTGGAAAGTACTGTAAAATTAGGAAGCACGGCTAAGGAGGATCATTCGGAAATTGATTGGATAAATGTGAAAAAATTCAACACGTAAGTCTATATATTTAGTTAGATTTATGTTCTGGTTACTAATCATAATCCTTCTTTTCCAGCTCCCAAAATTGGTCGAACAATGCAATAGTACTACCAGGCAATAAACTGGAAATATCCCTAGAAACTGCGTCAACATACATCCGAGAGCAAAAGGGGAACAAATATGGCTTCAAGTGTTTTATAATCGGATATGACAATAAAAATCTGATGAAGTATCCCAGCACGTCGTTGATACATTTAGAATATGAATTGTCTTATTTGGGTGGCCTGTGCAGTGCAAATCTGCTGAAAAAGGATCTTGTGTTTTCCGGTAAGCTAAATGCCGTCGATGGCTTTCATTAATTTGTATTCACACCAATACTCTTTCACAGATGACATCACCGATAATATGTCCAATGTCGAGGATACCCTAAAGAAGCACACCGCATTGCTATCAAAAGGGCTGATGGTTGCCGACTCCGTTTTGACTATAAACAACGCGTTAGAGGCCAATTTGCCGATCACGTGAGTACCAAATCAGTTTCTATATTGTTTACGTACGGTAATGTGGTACCTTTCATCGGCAATCCAAGCTGGAAACAAGAAAAGGTTTGGACCAGATGTGTCGTCAAATGTCAGTAACATCGCTTGTTTTTGTCACTATCCCGAGCAAAGTCTGAGATCAAATTGAAACCTAAATTTGATGTTGTGATTTCGCTGATAATGATTACTCAGGTTGCTGGCGTTTTGGTCGTTTTAACTGTTAAAATATCAAAATTGAGAGCAAAAAAATCTTCCTGTGACATCACATTGAAAACTATTTCTGCTATCAGTGAGAGCAACCTGAAAACAAAATTTGATATCAATTTTTCCTGTTGATAACAAAACAAGTGTTCAATTTGATGTTATGCTAAGGCAATGAAAACAAACCCACAACAACAAATTTCTGAAGAGCAAATGTACAGCAAAATGAAAACAAAATGCTAATACCTATATCAAATTTGTCAATTGTGTAAACTGAAATCAAATTATGATTTCAGTTTGATGTTGATATCTAAACTAGATTTCAATTTGCTGTCATTTTGATGCTGGACTTTGCTCGGGTAAGGACACCTTTTATGATTGATGAGAATGTGCGTCTTTGAAAAGATCCCAGAACTCTTCGAATTATCCGGAACATCACAATTTAACTTACAGTAGAAGAGTAAGTACCGTAATGCACCGAAATCCGAACACATTTAAAAGTTGATTATTAGGGCCAAACATGATTCAAACGTAACGTTAATTTTATGATGATCCAATAGTGTCGTACATGCTCCTGTAATTATTAGGTTGCCAAGGGGATGTAATATTTAATTTAAAATTAAATGTCCGGATTAAAAGAGTATCCGTTATTCGATGCATTACAGTATGATATAAATGCTTCGAAAAATGAGGTAGGTACTACGAAATGCAACAAATTACACGGAAATATCACAAAAGATCAATGTGTTGATGGGGGAAATGCCGTTTGTATTAAAGTCGTTTGGCATAAAATAACGTGGCATAGTGGTCGTTTGGCATAAATATATCAAAATTTCTTCCAAATACAAAAAATACTTTGACTATATGTTTTTAGTATTACTTCTACGTGAAGTTAACGATTTACATAGTTGAAGATGCTAATTTCAAATAACAGACTGTAGTGGTAATTTTTATACGATAGATGGAGTAGATGAAAGCATAGAGTTGATAGTTCCGTTAGAGTACGGCAGTGTGAAGATTGTATATAGATATTAGAATAGCGAACTAGGACAACTTTTTAAGGAAGGTACAAATCGGTTTTTTCATCTCTCTTTACCAAACTCCCCCTTAGGAGAGGGATGGTGAGGGGTGTCATCAACTTTCATAATATGTGAAAAAATTATCAGCTTTAAACAGTGTGAAAACAGCATCAAGTCAGTTTGTCCCATCAAGCAACGTAATCGTATATCAGTCTCATCCCGAAAATCAACCCTCCATATATCAAGTTACAGTTCTGTTTTTTTAATTGCCATATTTTTCGTTGTTATAACAAAATATGCAAGCTTCATTGCAGCTGAATTTAACATGAAAAATTTATCAATTAAATTACTATGATTTTTTAAATACTTATATGGGAGTTTTATTTCGTAAATTCGTCTGCCATTTTCTTAATGCCTACTTTTTCCATATAGGACTGATATACACCCTTTATGTAGCAGATCAGAAGTTGACGGAAAATAATGAAAAGATCCACAACTAATAATTCCGATTTGTACCTTCCTTAAAAAGTTGTCCTAGTTCGCTATTCTAATATCTATATACAATCTTCACACTGCCGTACTCTAACGGAACTATCAACTCTATGCTTTCATCTACTCCATCTATCGTATAAAAATTACCACTACAGTCTGTTATTTGAAATTAGCATCTTCAACTATACAAAAAATAACATAAATAATACTACGAACTTCCACCTGCCGTTCTACGCATATTTTTCCATGTTCCAAAACTTGCATATGAGAAAAGTACGATTATTGTTTAGAATTATTTATGCTTATTAGAGGTATTACGAACATTTAATTAATGCATTGTTCACCTAGAAATACTCAGAGGGAGAGATGGGCGGAGAAAACAAAATACAATTCGGCAGCAGGGATTTGTACCTAAATTATCTTGCAAGCCTTGCTAGAAGCTAGCATTTCACATGACTTTTACTATTGATTCGATTTACGTGCAAAATAATAATTGAGTGCATCGCAATATTTTGCACATTTATTGGTGCTATGAGTTAACCAAGTAAGATCAATTAATCAATAGAGCTAGAATATTGTTTTTGATTCCAAAAACTAGTTGAATTTGAGAAGCACACGAAACATAAAGGTGATTGAATTTCTGTTCGATTACAATACTAATTCTAAAATTTCAAAAATTCTAATGGAAATGTTCCATTTGCTCAGATTTTGACAGTTCATTTGGCCTCAAAACATTCTCTCCGCTTATCTCTCCCTCTGAGTATAGACGAGTGCACGGATGGATTTTAGTTCACTCACTCGACAAAAAGTGACACAATAGCGGGGCCCTGTTTACTAAAAATGAACACATTAATAATACTCGCATAACATTTGAAACGGCTCTGCAATGTCCGCGAGCAACATCCTTTCAACGCGCATTATTTTTTTTCGGAAAAAAAAAACTTCTAAGTGCTTGTGAACAGTACCACTGAACTGTCAAAAAATTCAGCCGATGAACACTGAGTTCATTTGTGACGTCACACTGCAGTACCTAATGGTCCCTAAAAATATTCTGGAACAAATTTCTTTCCATATGTCGATGGGGCTGCCCTTAGCTCAGTTGGTAAAGGCGCAGGTACAAAGCAAGACCATGCTGGAGGTGGCTTGGTTCGATTCCCGGTCCGGTCTAGGAATGTTTCAAGTTGGAAAATTTATCGACTTGCCTGTACTTGCCCTTCATGTACTTTGACACACAATTATACTAATGCTAAAATGGGACAGGCATCAAAAGCTCTCAATTAGTAACTGTGGAAGTGAATCAAGAAAACTAAGTTGAGAACACGTAATAAGCTAAAATATGTATCGAGGTATACCTGTAATCCATCACATTCGTCTGACAATTGAAAACTCACGTCGCATCTTTGATGGTTGATTTTGCACATTCGAATGCATACATTCAGCAGCACCAGCGGGTGGACAATCACCACATGAGTCTATATTTTTGACATACCATTCAATTCACTTTTTTTGTTTTGTTTATTCAGCTAATTTGCGATTCTGAAATGTTTGTTTATTTGTTACTATTATAATTGCATTATAATTTCTTTGCAAAAATTACAAATTGAAGCTCTTGAATAGTGTTTTTACAAATTTGTAATTCATGTATTTTGTACATAATATCTTATTACATTCTAAACAGCCTCATACTTCTTAACTTTATGAATATGATTTTCTCATAGATCCGTTTTCAGCAGGCCATGGTTTTCTATCTGCATTACTATTTGAGTCTCACGATAGGTTCGTGGCTCAGGCATAACTACATTGAGTTTACGTGTTTCCTTTTTCTTCTGCGCTACACAATACCATGATATTAGCAGAGTAATAATTGCCAAAACTATCGATCCGGAGACAGCGCCTATTATCAAATAGAACCAAAAATCATCTTCAACGCACTGAAATCTTTGGATGTCGTAAAATGATTTGAAAGTGCTTCCTTCGTGGGATGAACCAAAGTATATCTCGTCGGGATGGTTCACCAATACACTACTAGACTCTTTCAAAGCGACCAATTGGTCGCAATTAATGTTCTGTTCGATGTAGATTGCCCTAAGATTTACGTCGAAATCGTTGGAGAAAAGCAGCGTTCTCGCACCATTTATTTTTCCTATTCTATTGTTATGAAACTTCAGTGTGGGTCGTTCTGAATTTCGGTTATAGTATGAACTGTCTATATTTATGCCTGAAACGAAAATTGGAAGCATTATAATCATTTTACACATTTATTCTAGAAGGGATACTTTACGTTGAAATCCAGTGTCATCAATTTTTGTGAAATAATTCCCTACAATCTGAATGCTTTTCCTTATTTGCAATACAAAAGATTCTCCTGCTGCATCGTTGAATTCATTGTTTCGAATTAAAAGGTTGGTGACATCTGCAAAGATTATCATGATAAGGTATTGAACACTGTTTATGGTGAATCCATACTTTTAAATGTAAATGCACTTGGTAATAGAGCATAAAACGAGCAATTTGTTATTAGAAACCGATCCAAAACTTCAATTTCGTAGAAACTTTGGGACGGTATGGGTGCAATGAATTTGCTTCCATTCATTAAAAGCTGATTCACATCGAAACGCTTAAATGCATGTCGCTCTATTCTGTTTACGAGACATTCCACAATGCTGAGGGCATATAGTTGATCGCGAACACTAGTAATACTGTATGGCTTGAAAACACCTATTCGACATCTGGTGAAGTTTATCTCTGCTACGGGTCCTTTTAGTACGTGAGATGGTACTTCTTCTATAACATTCTGGTAAAAAAGTAATGTGGTAATTTTGTTTCACATCTTACAACACTCAATATTTAGCTACTTACATTGATTAGATCAATTTTTAGCTGAGCTGAAGGTGTATTACGTGTAAAATCAAAAGCATTTGGCTCTAGTATGAGATCCTCCACATTGATGATGGATAGTTTGGTCAGTTGAAATAACTCTGAGAATGTATCCCGACGTACTCGAAGCGACTTGCAATTTGCTATTTCGATTTCCGTTGTACTTCCTTCAAATTTTGGTGTAATAAAGGCCTGTTTTTTTTTTGTAAATATATGAAATTTGTTAATAGGTATCAAAAGGCATCAATGTTTGTTTATATATTTCCTATTACTGCCGCATTCGCATAACAGTCCCATGTTCTGTAGATTTCCTATCTAGACTGTTATGCGAATAGCAGCACAACCCACAAACCCATAACTGCTCCACTGTATGCTTGATTTCTTATTTACATGCAGTCTTGGTCCATGTTAAAATTATCGTCGTTAATGAACGTGTTAGGGGATTTAACGTGTCAAAATTAACCCCTTAAAACGTATGATGGCATCATTTTACCATGAGATAGTTTCTTTGAATTTTTTCACAGGATATCTTTCAAATTTTATCAAGAATTTTGTTAGAATCATCCCTAAATGTCTTTAGAATTATGTACTTTCAAGATTCCCATCCTTTGTTTTCTATTGGGAAATTTTCTTCGCACATTCTCGGAATACTCTGCAGAACCTTTTGGAAATTTCTCTCAACAATACTCATTAAGTTAATCAATTGTCGAGCAGTTTTAGGACAACCTTCTACCAGTGATTTTTCAACCTGAGCATGAATAAGAGTGCCTGACGAAGGGGTGGTGGGTATTCAAAAATCCACTATTTTGCGCTACGGAATATTTGAACGGACCCCAAGAATAGAAAACTCTATTTGTGGAAGTGCTCGAATAACATTTAGTTGAAGATAGGCCTTGAGTGACAGTTGGGGTGTAATATTCTAGAAGAAGAGTTATAGTTATTTAAATTAATTAATGGAAATTAACAGCGACACTATTATTAATTCAAGAGTTTACTTTCAGATAGCCGAATCTGCTTTTGAAAATCTAGACCCAAAATCAAATACGGCTAATTAAAAAATAACTCTTGAATTGGGGTTTTCAATTTAAAAAAAAATTGATCGGTTATTATACATCATCTTAAAAAGCTTCGTTTTCTGAGCACAATGATATTTTTTTCCGATTTCATAAATTTTTATCTCGATTTATACCAAAATTTAAAGCATAATAATAAATTCGCTTTTTGACACTAAACTAACAAATTGACAGCTCGCTCCTATACAAAGCCCTACCGAGGGGCGCTATGATTGTGATTTTTGCAAATGTAATCGCACTTATTTAAAATAGCTCTAGTGCACCCACATTGATGTAATTTTGGATGTCGGTTCCATTTTCAATGCATATTACGGTATGCAATAACCTTAATAAAACCCAATTGTAGATTTCCTCGTACATTTAAATAAACTTCATTAAATAACGTTTAGAGCCCACATACGAAAACAAAATACTTTAGAACTTCTGAAATAGGGTTACTGTGCCAGTTCTTGGCCCTAGTGGTCCTCTAATTGGCCCTATCTTAAATTTAAATTTAATTCGTTCTTTACCAAATTTATGTCCATGCAAGGTTAGAATATTCACACTATGCAAATAAAACCATGAAAATTTATATCAAAATTTTCTAGGGTAAAAAAGTTAGGCTCTAAGGTGTTTACCTTAACTGGTAAACTGGAGCACTAGTGTCATAACTGGCACTTACCCTGCAGCACAAATCTGCAATAGTACACTGAGGCAAATAAACTTAAGAATTTCATAAGGTTCGACTTATGAACGACACATATCAATTTCATAAGCGCAACTTATGAAAGATATTCATCTAACATAAGGTAGCTCTTATACGCCTTTAGCTTTTTCATTTACTCAAGCGTTGACAGACGAATGGTCTAGACACAAGACCCGTAATCTTAACGTCCATGGTTCGGTTCTAGTCTGCTCCGATTAATTATTTTTTTGTCGACATTATTTTTCATAAGGCAAATCTATGAAATTCATATCATTTTCTTGTGGCTAAAATTCATAAGTGGAATTCTTACGTTCTTTTGCCTCGGTGTACAATCATTCATAGATTCGACTAGGGTAAGTGGCCCAAGAGGATTAATGACTGGCCCTATCTTAAAGTTCAATTTTTATCATTTGTTACCAGATTAATTTCCATGCAGAGTTCGATGTTCTAGATTTCGTCATATGTCTACGCGAATAAAGTCATGAAAATTTATTTCAAATTTGAGTTAGACCCTAGGGCCAAAATCCGGAGCACTATGGCAACTGGCTTACTTACCCTATTCCCTATCCCAATATTATGAATAAAGGCTCAGCTTTTTTTTCCTCTGTTCGGGGCCTAACACCACTGGGACCAGTAATTTGATCTAAATCCTTAATTTAGAGCATGTCGTATTACTCCATCACTATTGAGAAATGATGAAGTATTCGGTTTTTTTTACAGTTGTCATTCTTGCATTTATCGCAAGGATCCGACTCTAATTGAAAGGTCCCGTTCTTTATACCCTTCGGAGTGTTGAAACACCCCCCAAAGGTGCGCCCCTTTGTCAGTCAAAATTGGATTCCTTAGCAACAAACTTAAGGAATGACACCGGTTATGACCATGCATCAGAACCCTAGCCTTAACCACCTCAAACTAGGGAACAACGAATGGAAGATCAGGAATTACATAGATGAAGACTATAGTCTTATTATATCTAGTTATAACTAACTCATTTTTTCCTTGTTTCAAGATCATCATCGGTGGACAAAGCCGAGTTTTGTCACTATCAACAAGGCATAAAAAGTAACAAGGACTAAGATGTGTTCCTTGGATTACTGAAAAATCCTGTTCCCCTAGTTTAAAGTAGTCAGGACTAGGATTCTCTAGATTAAAAGATTACAAAAATCTTCATCTTCATTATAAGAAAACCTAGCTTCTGTATTGCTCATTATTAACAGTTTGCATTATTATTTTGCGCTGTTTGATTTTAACACAGGCATTCATGCAATGTACGAAATCCACTTTCAAAAGTGAGTACAACAGCTAGTTGTGTTTTCTAAACAAAGTTGGAACAAAAGAATCAAATTTAAAAATCAGAAGAAGAGTTATTGAAATCAAGATTAGTACATCTTCCAAGGTGGAAGGAATTCAGAGTGATATTTCAGATGTCATTGTTTTAAATTACTTACAATGCGTTATCATTTGGCTCGTTGATCGTTTGTCATTTTGTGATATTTTTGACTAAATGGTAAAAAATCACAATTTTTATAAAAATCTTTTCAAAATGCAAATTGTATCTTATTAAAGTAGGGGAAATGACGGCTTCGGCATGACAGACTATTTTCGGCAACCCAAATTGAAACACTATTTGCACTTGATTTTCTTACGAAAACACTTCGCTGAATGTATGCAAACGATTCTTTATGCTTTCAGCTTCAATTTGACTATATTTTTACCACTGAAAAAAAGCAATCTAGCAAGGTTTTCTTGAAATGCAACACACGCTCTACAAATTGTAGCTGATTTTGAGTTGCCGATAATAGAACAGCAGATTTACATGCAGTTCAAATGGAACGGTTGCCGAAGAAAAACTGATTGTCGACAATACTCGCTCTCACTAGAGAAGATTGGAGCTTTGTAAAAGCGTTTCAAAACAGTTTTTGACAATTCTTTCGACTGAAATTGTTAGAGCAGCTCGCAGTAAAAGATTGTAAACAAACCAATACTGCATATGTGTGCGTTCCGTAGAGAAAAAGGCTATAGAAAGAAGGTCACTGCTTAGGTTGCCGAGAATACGTAAATTCCCCTATTTTCTTCATTTTGATAGTTTACACCTATCACCCACACCACCAAAGGAGAGTTAAAAAAGCGCAATATTTAATTTATTCGATTTCTCCATCAAAATACTTTAGAGTAAAATATTTAATTTGAGAAATATAAGTAAATAAAGTAAGTAATATTTGTACTTGTGGGCAGTTTTTAAAATATCCTTGCAAAACATCGCCATTGACACGACTCGTCATTCAAGTTACTAAAAACACTGCAGTCACCAAGTGACAAACATGGGAGGCTCAAAATCGCTCCAGTGACGTGACTCATCACTGAGTGACAAAAATTGATAGAAAAAGGACGCTTATGATCACTCCAGTAACGCGACTCGTCACTAAGTGACAAAAAAGTTACTTAGGCGACACTCATAATCGCTCCAGTGAAGTGACAGTCAGTTGAAGTGACGGTGATAATAGAGGCCCTGAGCGATTATAAGCTTAAAAAGCATCTTTTAATAAAGATAGTAATATTTCCTGAATTGTGTAAGGGCAAAATAGTGTTTGATTTTAACGACTGTTCAGTTTATAAAACGGGCACCACAAATTGTCAGTGGCTTTTTTCATTGTACGTTGTATTCGTATTGCTGATTCGTGATGTGTAAAGATTATGAGCCAAACAATATTACACTGTAGAGATTTAAGCTTAAATAATCATCCTACAAAATATAAGGGTGTCGACTCAACGAAAAAAACCAAGTTCACTGATATTCCCTGATTTTCCAGTAATTAAAAAAAAAAAAATCCAGGTACAGTGCCTACCCGTTTTTGGCAACACAACATCATCAGCTATTACTTTCCTTGGATATATAGAAGTGCTTTCTGGATTTTTTTTAATCCATGAAGAAATAGACCAGTAAAATCTTGAATTGAATAAAGCGTTCGATTCATTTTATAGAACAGAAAAAAAGTAAAAAATCGTGTTTTCCAAAATTTAAGTCAAGCAGTAATTGAGATTCCTTTGCATAGCGATTTTCTCACCCTTAGGTGTTCTGTTCTGACTGTTTCCGAACTCAACTCTTCCAGTTCGCATACATCTTACATGTGAAACACTTGTCTTTAATCCCATTATGTATTGTTTCCCTTGATCACATTTTGAGACCCAGCTCCGCAAGAAAATTATTCCGGATAACACGTTTCACTAAACGCTAATTTGCGACCGTATTCCTCCGGTCGGCAATCATAAACAGCGCTCCTAAGTTATGCGAGTTAATGTCATCTCAATCGTAATAGCAGCAACATAAAAATACGAAAACTTCACTGAGAAACCAATTTTTCTAGCTAACAAGACTACTAGACTACTCAATAAAACCCCTTTTTCGCTGCCTTCGTATCTTTGAATCATTATTCACTCAAAGTGCTACTCCAAGCAATCAAAAACATTCCATCCATGCAAGATCATTATCCTAAGTTCTCATTTAGTTGATTCTCTGACAAACTAGGCTGTCAGAACATAATAAGGTACAAGAACTACACGTATTCAGAAAAAAATATCATCTTCTCTTAATTCTTCACCATTATTGCAAAGGTGCTCCAATAAGCTCAAAGAATTGATTTTTATTGAACAAAGTTGGATCGAGCAGACGGTGCAATCTACTCGAAGGTTAAATTGTGGCAGGCGCAATTAGGTGTAACATCTATTAAAAGACGCACATACCCATTTGAAAGTAAAATTTTGCAACAACTAAAAACTTCTATCTACGAAAATGGATTTTTTTTCAACCCTCAGGATCTCATTTCAAGTCAAGAAGCTGTCAACACCCAGTAGGAGCTGAATTTATATCGGTCCAAAATCATCAAAATACCGTTTTACTTGAATAATTTTGAGCATTGAGCAACCACAAGTTCGCAACTCTATTTAAAACCATGCTCAAACTACACCCAGTAATTGGGTTCTTTAAGGGTATTGAGGTAAATGCATATTCGTAATCTGCATTAAAAATGGAACCCAAACCCAAAATTTCATTAATTTTGGTACACTGGAACTATTTTAAATAAGTACGATTACATTTGCAAAAATAACCTTATTAGCGCCCCTCGGTGTCACTTTGTATGGGAGCGAGGTGTCAGTGTGTCAGTTTAGTGTCAAACAGTGAAGTTATTATTTTGCTTTAAATCTTGATTTAAAAATCGAGATGAAAGTGTGTGGGTTCGAAAAAAAAAATATCGTTCTGCTCAGAAAACGAAGCTCTTTCAGATGATATATTAAAAACGATATATTTTTCAAAATTAAAGAACCCAATTATGTTGTTTGTAACTAGCGAAGGCAGTCGTACTTTTTACTTATTTTCTGTGATTAAGAAATATTTCCTTGAATTTGAATGAAATTCTCTGATTTTCTCAGGTTTTCCCAGGTACTCTACACCCTGAAGTATGATAATTTCCTGTGTAACTTTCTATTAATTAAGTTGTCTTTGAATTAATACAGTCAAAACAAAATTTGTCTTACGTGTTACACATTCAATTGATAAAATTGTATGAAAACTGGTGTGGAATAGCCCAGCATTGTTGAAATATCGTATGTACCTATACTTTGAAGATCAAATAAAATTAACTCTTTTCCACCCATGGTTACTCTGAGCACCATTCCATTTTTGACATTGTGTGCTATAACTTTCTGAAATAACAGCATATTTTTCTAAAACTATTGCAACTAGTTCTTCTATTATCGGAAAGACAATCTAGGCCAATATCTCAAAACACGCCAGAGATACTAGTTTTTAAAATTTATTATGCCAGAACACTCTGAGCGGGAAAGGGTTAGTGTATTTTTAAGTTAGTGTTCGATATGAGCAGATAGGGTTAACTACCCCATTTCCGGCCCATTAAGCACAACCCACACTTAGTCTTTCTTAATCTAGCGCAGTTTAGCACCAAACGGAATGTGATTATTACTGATGGCTTCCAAATTTATTTACCTTTCCGTATGTACCGTAAGATTTGATAAAGACAAACCAATCGTTAAGATATTGTCAAAAGTCTAAAACTGTTTTTTGACGCCAAACTCGGCCTGCGGATTCTAAACTCGGCCTAACGCATTGAAACGCCAATGAATTCACTTCGGCCTATCGGATGAAGATAAAAATTGATTCGGTCGGAGCACTTCTTTTGTTTTTGGAAATAATGGGTGCTAACATTCAAATCACGCGTTCTCATTGACTTCGTTAGGAAGCTTATTAACTAAAGTATCGTACCAAACGCATAATTGACTTGTTAACTCAGAAATCATGGATTTATTTGAAGTTTTCTGCGCGATAGGCCCAAAATGGGCGATTAGGTCGAAGTAGTGCTCTACAAAACAAATGTGGTTACAAGCATTTTCGAACACATGTGATATGAGGGGGTTAGAAGGAAAGGGGTGTAAATGACTTTGATCGATTCTCTTCACCGACTTTCTCTTTTGATAGCCACAGCTTTATAAACAGATTTTGCGCTTTTTATGCCACATAGTTTGATATAGGATGTTCTCATCTAGCATTCAGAATGGCACAAGAATCAAGGAATGTGTGTGCAGCTGAATTATTGACGAAACAGAACGTCGATGAAGAGAATCGATCAAAGGCACTTACACCCCTTTCCTTCTAACCCCGTCATATAACATATCGTAAAATTTACGTGCTACTACGAATAAAGTGAACTCTCTACAACTCGATATTGAAGAGACCATCGTATAGAATAATTATCGAGTTATAGAATAACAATCCCATACTAATAGCCATGAAATGCATGTTTACTATGGTAGTATTACTCGAAGGCAAGTTAGTGGACATCCAGCTGTGGAGAGTTGACTGTGTATTATTCATATATTTTGCTACGTTGCTTTAAAACAGAGCTTCAGAAGTGGTTTTAACACAGAGTTGCCGAAGAAACATCAAGCTTAAACTGTGCTTTCAGTGTCCGTTTTATAAAATGAACAGTTATTAGTATTAGGATTTCTTTATTTCTGACTGCAGGATACCAAGTTAGCTGATTGTTTACACTGTGATAATTAGGATTTCAAACAATACATTGCAATACAAGGTACCAAGCAAACCAAGCGAGAATAGCTATGAATCACCCAAGACTGATGTTCATATCTGTAGTCGTGTAGACATAGTGAATAATACCATTGTCTCTGTATACGTTATGTGTGAGGAAATATTCACCTTCATAGCATATAGCTTTATCACTTACTTCGTTCCGATATCCACAATCACATATTCTTTTACCAAATCTATGCGCTGAATCATGAACGCAGTGTACTAAGGTTTCTTCATCGCGATCTTGAAATTCATTGAAATCGTCTTCAGCATGGCACACGACGAAAAATGTGACCACCATCCACAGATGAAAGAAACTAGAACACACTTTGTATCTCATTGTTATATCATCACTTTCACTAGCATTGGTTAACTCGATTGGGTTGGGTGACCTCGATCTTCAGAAACAGATATCCGTTTTCGCCATTTCAACCTTCAAGCATTTGCAGTCAAAGAGTTTGCAAACTCATCCGATAGCCGCTGTTGGTGAACTGAGCTACATTTCAATGAAAAGCGATAATTCTTGTTTGACTATCGCTATATTGTAGATATGAAAAATGTTCCCAAAGATAACATATCGACGATAACGCAGAAAATAAACATCTGTTTCGTTTACGGTGCACAACTCACCGTGGATGTGTATAAGTATACTTACAGGTTATCGCTTATCTAAGTACGCTAGTCCTAGTGTAAACCAATACACTTCTTATGTTACTATTCTTCAGTGTGTAACAGATACTGGTTCAACGAATGCAATGTAAAATTGTCATTGCCATCGGCTGTTTGGACGTTTCGGAAGTTTTGTTTCGATAGTGAAACTTTCTAGTACGAAGTCTTTTTATTAGTAGTAATATTCTCAATTACTTACACCACATTCCACTAGCATGATAATTTACTAAAAGAAACAAGGCTTGTTTCTTCTGTCGTCGTAACATAAAATACATTCTGAACTAAATTAATATCACTTTTCAAGAACTTACATTTTCAAGACAAATATAATTAGCATTTTTGGACGTTTTATTTTCGGATATAAAAACTAACATCTTTTCCATTGCACTGAACTCCAATATTGTTACGCGTCGGCATATTCCACGATATCTTCTATTTTAACGGTAATATCACTGCCACCCGAATGTTCTGAGTGGTCGGAATTTGACGTGGATGAGCTGTCAGACTCTACTATTGGCTCGCGTCGGAAAACAGGCTTTGGTGGTGGCACTTTCTTCACTGGCAGTGTATATTCGGGAATTTCCCTACTGCTCGTTGGGGACCGATCCATGTATCTGAGTGGTTCTGGAACGGCTATGGCATTCAGTTGGGCACCGGTATTGCTACCAGTACTGTTACCACTATTCGAATTGAGAATATCTGGCAAATTTCGAGACGTTCCCGGTTGCTGCTGTAGGCTGATTGCTCCAATGTTATTCCCTATGGCGTACGGAGTTATGAGCGTTCGGGCATTATCTGAAAATAAATATCAAATCGATATGATTTCACATCAATGATGGTTCTTTAAGATATTGGTAGACACAAAACAAACTGGATATACAACAAATTACAGTCGGAGATTCTTAACATCCTCTGTACTATTTACGAGAAATGCAATGTAATCTTCAATAATTCAGCATTAGGTAGGTGGTACAAGTCCATTTTATGATAACGGTGCCGACCACGTCCTCACGGTCATTGTGAAAAGGAAACGATTATTAGTTCAACAGCCGTTGCTACTGGAGACCGAGTATACCTCTACATCTATACAGTTGCCAAATAAAATGACATTTTTATTTTTGTTAGTAGGAAGGGTGAGTTAGATCAGTATTCACTTTGGCAAGTGATGCGATCTTTTAAAGCATGGTGAACAAATGATGCGAGGAAGCGACGTAATGTGTATAGTAATGTAAAGGCGCTCAGAATTGAACCCAGGCCATAGAGCCCCTTACATCACAACAAACCACTGTAATTTACATTCAAGCCCGAAGACATAATGCTATTCCAATGAAATTTCGAAACTAGTCAACAATGTTTTCAAACCCGGAATCGAGGATACGTCACATTTTACTCAAAATATCAATCTTTCCGTATCGTTAAAGACTTCTGCACTCATTTTGCTCACAGATGTTGCCGAAACCAGGAGTATCCAGCAGTACCGCTCGATGTGTATCATGTTCTGCAGTTGCTCGGTCGATCATATTGTTAACTACCTAGGAAGCAAACATTTTGTGATAAATGCATAAGTGAAGAAGTGGAGGTGGCTGGGTTTGATTCCCGGTCCGGTTGGAATTTTACGGGTTGGAAATTTGTCGACTTCCCTGGGCATATAGAGTATGATTGTACTTCCCACACAATTATACTAATGAAAAAATGGTACAGGCATCGAAAGCTCTCAATTAATCACTGTGGAAGGGCATAGTGCAGCTAGAAAACTAAGTTTAACAGCACGTAATAAGCTAATATGCGATAAGCAATAAGCTTGAAATGCGAAGAAGACGCATAAGAAGAAGAAGAAGAACAGACATCCACCTCGTCAATCACTGCCTCGTGAATGTCTGAATGATTGGGAAGTAAACGAGTCACTACACGCAGTCAGTAGCTCAGTCAACACGTTTATTCTTCCGTGATGGTAAACAATCCTTGTTTTGAATGACTGAGCGTACATTTTATATGGAAAAATGCCTCAATTACATGCTGTGTGGGCGAAGGCAAGTTGTGTGAGCCACCTGTTCGGTAGTAACTGAATGTTGTTGTTGGCTCTTTCATTGCCTCGTCCTTTACCGTTTGCTACATACGGTCAGGATGGACCAATGCATTAAATTGAGCAGTGCTTTCACACTCAATATAAGCCGTCTATAATGTTAAGCTCTGGTTAAAACCATGATTTGCGTACATTTCTCCAATTCGCGAGATAAGGTGCCTTCTATGTTGAACTTCTTGACTATAGTTTTACGATTAATTGTAATATATAATGAATAAAAAACCTCGGCTCTGTAAAGTTGATTCGGTTGAGCCTGATCAAATAAAGTAAGTAAATAAATAAATAAATATTACAAAATACTAATACTACCGACGATCGTTCAACAAACCGGGTGATTTTAAGCTAGCCAAAGGGAATCACGCCACGGCAAGGGGCGGGCCCGGCGTATTAGTTATCACCCATGTGTCTCACGAGTTCAAATCTCATCCCATGACAAGTCACATAACTGTTAATACGAAAAAAAGGAAGAAACGTTTTGGCTGTACTGTATATTTTTTTAAATTAATATTTCATGCCTTTCCAATCAAGTTATTTAGCGAAATGTACATTACATTAAGACATCTAACAGAAGCATCAACCTAACCTCCGATACACTTTAAACATAGCACAGTGTAGCATATGAGGCTGTGAAATCGTAGGTGACTGTATGGCGGTCAACCCTCACATTTTGTAGAAGCTTTAAAATCACTTAAGTTTTGTCAACTTTTCCAAAAACAACGAAATAATTAGCTAAGTCCAAGCCTGCATGTTTGATCGCAATGGTTGTATCTAGTTGTCTTAAAACACATAATGTTTCAATTCTAACAAAAGTTTAACTCATCACGAGTATCCACGCTGAACACTAGATCACGTTCGATCGAGGTGATCCCGCCAGATAGTAAAAGGAAATCAATAATCGCTGCGTACAATCGGGTCCGTTAGGGAAGGTTATTTCAACTGCGTACACACACCGCTTATCCCTGGAAATGACGCAACCTTGATACTGGATGTGTGCCCACCACCCTCGTTGCATCTTCTTCTGGGTATGGTTAATGCGAAATACAATGCGATTGCAGAGCACGATTCCGATCTTGCACAAGCTTGGACCATAGCGTCACGCCATGCGCAGTTCGAGTATACTGGGAGGCACTGCCGCAATCTGCTGACGAAGCGAGCCTTGTTGGATACTGGTGACTTAAACTCGAAACACTTTGTGAATGTTCTCGATTATTGCAGAAGGTTATTGATGACTGTTTCGGTGTAAATCTACAAAAGGACTACGAGCAATGCATCAATGAGTTTTGCAAATCATGGAAATTGGCTCAGCTACCGGTTACTCCTAAATTACATACGATCCAGCAGCACGTGGCAGAATTCTGCCAAAGCAAACAAAACGGTTTGGCGAGGTTTTCCGAACAAACAACTGAAACAGTGCACAAAGATTTCAGCAAGAAGTGGGAAAATTACAAATTTCCCAAAACCAATGCTGAGTTCTCGAAAAAACTTGTGAGTTGCGTTGTTGCTTATAATAGTCTTCATATTAAATGAATACACATAGTGTCTGCTGTTGTATTGCTTTACATCTATAGAGATAATACATTCGAATGAATAACTAAACGATACATTTTTAGCAAAATTCTTATTATTAATTCTCTATTAATTGTAACAAAGTTCGACACACCTCTAGGGCGAAAGGAAGGGAAGGGTGATTAGGGAATGGGAAATGTGATATTTTGAACATGCATGACAGCAAATAAAATGTTCAGACTTTTATGATGGTGGCAATCCGGGTGACCGTATCTTGAAATAGGAGCTAAAATGACTAACAGTTATTAATTTGAGCTTGAGCTGTTAAGTCTTTTTTTTTATCATTCTCAGGGTGCAAAAAGGATGAAATCCTAAAATCCCTTTTTTCAAGTTTTCGCCGATGAAATATTTTCAAACTTTAACAGTTTGTTTTTAGCCCTATTGACTAACTTTTGATGAAGAAAGATCCGAGGTTCATGCAAGTTCGATAATATTCATGTTCCGATACCCCGTGCGCCGGTGCTTGAGTGGTAGGCGTGAGAGCTTTCTCACCCCACTGTGTCTTGGATCAATCTCAGGTCATTGGGAAGTAAAGCCGTTGATCTCGGCCCATGTGTTGATGGGTTCGATAGGTTCCGGTTAAAGTTATGCTTTACGAATTGCCATATTTTTCGATGGTTTGACAAAGCATACAAGCTTTATTGAAATTGATTTTATCTTGAATATATTATCAATAAATTTACTATGATTTTTTCCCTCTCCATGGACATGGAGGTTGACGGTACTGAAGCATAGGGTTATGTTTAATTTCTTTATATTTGCAACGATGATGATTTCCTATAGTGACACATATCACCTTCTTAATGCTTCAGTATGCCTCAAACGATTAATTCTTGGTTGTTAATAGAACTTCCTTGATGAAATCGGCTGCTTCATGCAGACTGAGCAATTCTGATTATAGTATCAGATTTGTTCTGTATACAGAGGAACTGGGAGGGCTTATTAGAAACTTCTCACCAATAAAGGTGATCTTCTAGTAAATTTTGCATATCATTTTATTAATATTTTATTTTATTTAAGCATATTATTTTTGTTACAGTCAATTGGCATTAGCATACGATACAAAAGATGTAATATTACTTGCTCGTTTTTGCGTAAAATAATCAATAATACCATTGAAATTTTTTTCAAGTTTTTGTGATCTGATAGATTTTCCAGTTTGGTTAGAAGTTTCGAAGCTAACGGATGTCCACAGCCCTAATAGAAAGATAGGCAGAAAAAGTGTACCATGAAAAATCGTTGCATGCAGGGTTGCTTCCACTCACTTGCTATAGATGAGTGATTTTCAGAGTTTTGAATTCGTTAGATGATGTAATGGAGATTTGTGTTGTTGGATGCGGGAGGAGATTGGAGGGCGGGTGTTTGACGCATGGAGCCTGTCAGTTTCGCTTTCAGAGTGTCGCAGTCAGCGGTTTTATGATTCGTGAGCGCTCGCGATTCGTACAATCGTTGATTGTGGCTGCAAGTGGATTTGGCGGGTTTTGTGTATCAGACGCTTGCCTTTTGGCCTCTTCTTGTGTCTAGCATGTGCAGAGTATCATTATAGCATCTAATGGTTTTCAGATTCTTGGTTGCGTGAAATACATTTGTGAGAATATCTTTTTGAGATTTTAGTAGTCACGTTTTGTTTACCGTTTATATTTTATTTCTTTCATGTTATTATCGTAAATAATAGTTATTCAATAATAGATAATTCATCCATATATTCAATAATAAATTTACGAATGACTGTAATTTGGATACCTAACAATTGGACAGAATCACTAGCAAGAATAGGTTGCGGAGTGTTCGCCTTCGAAAATATCAAAAGACATTAAATTGGAGGCGGATTCTGGTACGGAATTACAGGCTGCTATTTTGAGCAACTTATCGTCAAAAAATTAAAAATTACATGTAGGTATTAGGCAACAAATCTGGATAGTACGTTAGATATGTTGTGGTATAAACTTTTGCAAAGTTTCTTTGTTTTTTTTTTTTTTTTTTTTTTTACTTTTTTTTAGTTAATTTTTTTTGAACGCAGTTAAAACTAGGAGATGAGGAAGAAATATAATCATTTGGTGCAAACACACCAACACATACACACACACACACACACACACACACACACACACACACACACACACACAGATACACAAACACATCATGACATTAGACAAGGGAACATCCAGACATTAAAACTGACGTACGAATGAGAAGAAGACATAGACAAAGACAGACCTGCAATTACCGAACCATAAAGATTTTCAAGAAGATTATGATTAATCAAGATCGTGAATCCGGTGTTTAATTGGTCACCATAGACTAATCCGTCCGGCATCGTAGTCACTTGGAAATTTTTCTCATCAACCCCGATCATTGCAATCCTATGGGGATACAAAAAAAATACTATGAATTTTTAAATATTTACATGGGAATTACACTTCGCAACTTCAACGGTCATTTTCTCAATGCCTACTTTTTCCATATGGGACTGATATGCGATTATAGGCAGTATATGAAATATATACATTCTGCATTTGGTCGACGGGTCCCGAAATATTCCTCAGACATACGGATCTCGGTCCTACACTATAGCAATGTACAAACTGACATGAATGACCATAATTCTACACATATTTTACTCGAGCAAATTCAAAGGCATAATAACCTTTTAGCATAATTGGGAAAAAAAATGCAATGTTTAACCTTTATGGAAGGTTACTGCTTTTTAAAATAAGACCTATTTTTTTTTTAATCAGTAGCCCCACTTTTTGTTAAATTTATCGGGCGTGTGATCAATTCATCAGTTGGCGTGGAAATGCTCTTATATTTTTGTAGTGCGGTATCGTTTTTTCTTCTAAGGATCAATTCTATTAATTTATGGTTCATGCTGGTGCGTTTTATAGATGTTTTGCAATATGTAATATGTTTGGAAAGATAACACAATTTCCATGCTCATTTTTTCACAAATTAGCGACAGATCTTATTTGCAGGAAATATGGATCACATCGTTATTTTTTATCGATCGCACTTCTTTAGGAATTTACCCGTATATTACGGATCATTCGAATTTTCTTTACGGATCGCTTTCCAATTAGTTATTTATAGATTTAGCGGAAAAAGAGTAAAAGTGCGATTTTACTTCATACTGCGGCAATAAAATGACGGTTTATTTTGGAACGAAAATCACAGCAACTTGTTGCAGCATAATGAATGGGTTAAACAAATTCAAAGCCAAAACAATTGAAGGCCGAAGCGTAATTCAAGATGTCAAAACTTTTGACTGGTTTCCGAATAAAATGTACTATAGTGTTGTGAAGCGTATTATTTTTCAAAGCTTAAGTTCTTGTTCCTGATATCAAGAAAATTGAAATAAAATGCTTAAAAGTAAAAAAAAAAAACGTGCACAAAACCTCACGGGTGGGGTTTCATCTGAAGTGCTTGTATTTTATATCAGTTGCCAACATCACTAAATGTAGTGTGTATTTGACTAGTAGGTATGTTAAATAAAAGAATAAAAAAAAAATTCATTGAAATACTTCCTACATATTTTTAATGAACTCTCGAGTGTCCCTTTTTTCAGATATAGACCTTACCCCGAATGCCGTTTCACTGAATGTCATGGCAACTACCCCGTTGCTCGTTCTTTTCACATTCAGGGTGATGGAATTCGAGATGATGGTGTTTGGGGAAGTGATATTCGGGATAGCGTAGCGCAATCGTCATTGGGCTGTAGTTGTACATACCTTTAGCAATAATCTGCACTGGTTCAGAGTAGTGTGAGTCACTCAAATCCATCGGTGCCGAATATTCATTGACGAGCAATGGTTGTGCCGCACTGGTCAACTCAGCATATATGTGATCAGGCGATCCCGTTCCTTCGATTATGGTCGTCCCTTCCTGTGGCGCAGACGGCTCGGCATAAATAGTTTCATGTGGTGTGGGACTAGTACTCGGCGCTAGATGGCGATACAGAATATCGGTAAACGCTACAAAGTCATCTCCACTGTTCTCGCACTCGTTCAATCGCCGAACGATTTCGCCGATGGTTAGCACCTTCTCAGTCTCAGTAAAATTACCATCGAGAAGTTTTTTGGTGTGTATAAAAACGGCCTCATACATTTCCGGTGATTGTTTCTCTTTGATCTTGTCCAGTGTTTGATGAATAATCTTTTTGTCATCTTTTGAAAATGCTTTCGATGGCTTATGAGTCATGGTAAAAGAGGCATTCGATATGACATCTTCGGAGCTATTCGGCTGTCGTTTACTGCATATTTTGCAGAAAAATATGGACAGAATTAGTATCACTAATGAAACGATAACGACACCTATGATAACGTACTGATAATAATCGTTATACTGGAGTGATTCAATTTCATCCGGGCTAACGAAATGTGGTTGCACTTTTTTCTCCTTTTGACTGCGTGAGCAATCGATTGTTCGTGTCTTTTCATCACAGACTTGTTTCATGTACATTTTCACATTGAATGTGGTTGCATTGAAACAGTATTTTAACGTTTTATCTATTGTACAATAGCTCTCCTTTATCAGTTTATCGTAATCTTGGAAGCTTAGCTCCTTCAACCAATGCTCGTCACAACTGCACGGTTTATTGAACGATATCTCACTCAAGGAACACTCTTTGTGCTGAAAGAAGCTGAAGCTCTTGGTAGCAGGAAAAGTAACTGAATTTCCATGGAACTTGCAAACTTCGGGCGATTGCGTTCGCTCGAGTTTAAAGTAGTTGAACTCTCCGAAAGAATTATTCAAAAACTGCACTTTTGTCCAGCCTTGTTTCTGGAAGAACCAATTTATGTCCGTCACTTTGATCACGTTATTGACGATTGTACTCGAAATTCCAGTAAACTTGATGGCATCGGCAGCAATTTCATCAATGCTGAAATGATGACACATTATTTAATAGGTTATTTTTTGTAATAGGAACACATTAAGTTTTCACTGAAAACACCTTTCTTGAAAGATATCAGTCGATATGACGAAATGTAAAAACATATATGCTTATGAGCGTGCATCAATTACTTACACGTTATTTTGCATGTTGAAGATAATTATTCCGCTGTCTGTTATGAAACTTGTTTCAATCTTTTTTATCCTGCAGTTTGTCATGGTGAAGTATCTACATAGAAGCTGTGTGGATAGAAAGCGCACATTGAGAACATCGGTGACTTGTTTGTGAATGTGACATTTGCATTACCTTCTCAGTAATTGCCTCAGACCTTAGTACGTCGATCCTGCAGTTTTCAAATATCAATGAATCTATTTTATTGACATCAAATGCTTTTTTTGAGATCTCTTCGATGGTGCTGTTGATGAACTGTATCTGTCGGAATGACGCCCTTAGTTCAAACAGGGTTTTAATTGCACTGTTGACGATATCGAGCTGTTTATGGAAAAATAAGGTTTAGTTAATAATTCTTACCGAACCATTGCAATATTGGACTGTTTTTACCTTCGTTGTAATCGAATTTCTAAAGGCATCTTCCTGAATTCGGATGTCTGTCACGTGATTGAGTAGGATTTCACTCTCAGCGACGGCAAACGCCTCTGGCATTATAATCACCTCCTTAGCCCTCGTCACATTGAGTTTGAATTCCTCTGTACAGAGCAAATGTATGAATTGATTAGTAGTCTAACCTCTATTAGCGCCTTCAGTTCTACTTACGACAGAATGTATGCTTGCTGAACACAACTGTGTGAATGTTGTACACTTCTAGCTCAGGATAGGTACCATTGTTACGGCAGAATGCCTCAGCAAGGAACTCGACATGCTCGTGACCATCGGTGCCGGCAAAGTTACCTTTGATTAGCACTCGATTTAGTAAACTATTTTCGAACTGTTTGGTGTAGATTAGTAATCTTGCTCGTCGATCAACTAATCGCAAGTTGAGACTTTTTGCCTCTTTAGGAATGTGATATTGACCGTCCAGCGACAACTGAAAAAAAGAATAAAATATTCTTTATTATGCACAGGAAATAAGATTATTCATATTTTTAAGCCACGCTGAAAAAAAACCCAAGAGTACTATGTATCCAGGAGCTCAAAATGGTCTTAATTTTGCAATGAGGGCTTACAGTCTATATCTAACTATTGGTAAAATCATTATAATAAAATTAAAAAGTTTCCAAACGCACAGAAACGACAAAAATTAAATAACAGAGTTTTGACTTCGTGGAGACTGAAAAGCCATTCCCATCACATCAATTTCCCAGTCCATCAGTACAAATTAGTCCATAAGCTTTACGTTTGTCATTTTCTTCCCTTCAAAATTTCTGAAAAGTCCCACTTACCTTAACGTTTTTGTCAAAACTGATTTTTTCAATGGAAATGATATTTAATCACCCATATTTTAATAATACTAGATTAACTCAGCAACTTTGTTCTGGAAAAGTTTGGAAAAATAGGCAAACGGATTTCCCAAAGATTGTCCCATTGCATAAGAAGCAATGGTGAAAAGCAAAATTTAAACGCGTTTTTCTCGACACCTCAGTTGACGTCTAAAACACAAATTTTCACTCGTTTGTCCCTCTTTCTCCCGGCGGTTCATTGGTATTTCTTTTCAAGCTTCGATGAAGCGGACGAGTGAAAGAGCGCTTGACTTTGATAGTTTCGTCTTTCAGAAAACACATCAACCGAGTTTTCATGACGTTTATGACGAAAAATGAAAATGTTTATATTTAAGGCATTTTTTACGTGAAAACACTTAAGGATTACACATAACATGTTTATCTTCCACCCACATATTTATTTTGAAAAAATATTTAAAAATGGGACACCATGCATATTAAACACATTAACAGAGCCGGTGACAGTGTCGGTGAAAAGGATTGTAAGCCATAGTAAGCTTTCGTTTCAGCTCGATAATCGACGTTACGACTAGAAAATCTATAGAGATGTTCACGTCCGGTTGTAGTGATGCGATATGTGAGAGCGTGTTAGTGAAAATCCGAAGAAATACATGCAAGAAACTCATTTTGACAGATCTAATTTAATATTTTTTATGTTAGTCTGAGGAAAATAATAAACAATTTTACATGGGTATGCACCCGCTGATAACCGTGCGTTAAATCCTCAGAATTCCTAAAATTTTCCTCTGGTCAACATTATCGTTGAATAAAAGACAACAATTGTATGAAATTATCTTCAGGATTTTCTTGAACCACTCTTCCAAGTACTCTTGGAACTCTTTTCATAATGCCCTTGAAACTCTTCTAAAAATTGTATTTTACTATCCTAAGAATTTCCTTAGAAAACTCCTTTACATTGTCTCCTGAAATTCATTAAAACTATAAAAAAAAAAGCTTTCCTCTCTACAATTTCTTTAGAGATATCTTCAGATTTCAATTCTCTTAGATCTCTGAATAGGTTTCCTTTAATTTATCTTCAGAATGTATTCGCTCAAGAATTCCATATAAATTCTCTTCAGAAGACCATTAACTTCTTGTTAGGTTTGCCTGGAATTTTGATCACTATCCAAAATTTCATCAGTATATTGAATTGTCCAAGATTCAATATCTATTCTATGCAGAAAAAACATCATTGTATGTAGAAAAAAGAATTAAATCCTAAAATCTTGAAAATTTCAATATTCCGTATTCCAATTTTAAAATCCAATCTCACACTTTCCACATTTAAATCTAATGAACCATTCAGTTCGATTGCTTTCGGTAGGTGGCATTGGGGAAATTTGCATGCTGCAACTTTGGAAATGTCCATAACCATGAGGACAAGTTAAAGCGAGGAAGGGTAAAGTTCAAGTTAAACAAAACATTTGGATGATATTCCATGTGGGGACAAGAAGAGTATATTAGCAGAATATTTTAAAACTATGAGATTTAGGAAACATTTGAAATCTTGAAGTTAAAACAATTTTCTGAATTTATAGATTTCTTACATTTGTTACAGTCTTGGAGTTTACCAAATTATCAAATTTACCAATCAGTTACCAACATGTTTGAAAATTTGGAAAAATTATTTGTTGCTGAATTTTTTCATTTGAATACCGATGTGGGTTAACTCCTTATTTTAATTTTAAATATTTTTTTTATTTAGTTTTTACTGTGCCATATTTGAATGTGGTGCGGCCTTATGTCTAAGCTCAAGGTAGAGTGTTTATGTTAATTTATTCCTAATATTCTCTGGTTATCGTTTTCCAGCTTAAACTCTACTGAACTCTTATTTTTGATGGATCACTCAAAAACATTAAGATGAAATATTGCTGATTGCATCTGAAACTGGACTGCCTTAAAAAATGCAAAAAGTGTGATAAAAGTGCACTTTTGCGTCAAATCGTTTTGGTGTCTTTGGAGCACTTATTGCTTGCATCATAAGAAATAAGACACCAAGACGATTAGATTGAAGCTCGCACTTTAATCACACTTTTTAATAAGTGAAAACGCGCTTATTAGTCCAGTTTGGTGTGAAATGCGCAATACCAGCTTCCGCCAAAGTTATCCAACCGTGGATCAACTTAATAACCCCTAGATCATCACTCCCCTTTAGATCTGTATCGAGTATCCAACAACTGTGCCAAATTTGGTAACGATCTGGATTTGGTGTAGTGCCTAAAATTTCGAAAATAGTGACCAAATATTTACTTTAAAACAATAAAATCATGACCAATAATCATAAATATTGGTCGGAAAAACGACGAACACAACCCATCATGAGCATTATTCATGCTAAGAAATTCTACGTTCGATTTTGGGACCATGCCAAAATCAAACAGTTCTAAAAATAGTAAGATTTACAATACAGTGTTTACTAACAAATTAATGAACACACTTAATTTTTTCTACCAAGCTCGGCTGTGCAAATCTCGGCAAAAAAAAAAGTTTTACTTAGATCTCAGCAAACATTTCATTTGTTTGCTGAGATTCAGCTCAGCATTATCCGAGACTCAGGAATCAAATGTCACTTTTGCTGAGATCTCAGTGAAACTTATCTTCGCCGAGATTTGCACAGCCGAGCTCGGTAGAAAAAAAAACTAAGTGTCAATGATGTCATAGAACAACATTTTTCTTTCATTTAACAATTACCATTACCGTTTAAATAGTCGAAACATGTCCACAATAAGTGAAGTAGCCAGAGTGACAGTGAACCATCATTTTAGTTTCCAATAAGTGTTTTCTACCCGGATCCAGAGTTGGTAACGGTCAGTTTGGTCAGTGACGTTTGACGAAAACCAAAAATAAATTGTTGCGGTACAAAAACCATCATTTCTATACATCCTTCGTCATTGACGAAGAGAGACCGACAGTAATCCCTTTTAACAAATCGGGTAGAGCGCTACTTCGTCGTAATCGCCCATTTCCGTTCTATCGATCAGAAAAGATCAATAATATCAATGATTTCACCGTTCACAAATTTGGTTTGTTTCGATGCGTTAGTTCATTAGCTACAACATAAATCCTGTTAGAGCGCATTGTATGAATATTTATGCTCATTGTTCTCAAAACAAAAGAAGCGCTCCTAGCGAATCCCCTTTTTCTACGTTTATCCATAGGACGAAGAAAATCTAATGGCGTTTCAATGCGTTTGGACGGAATTGAAACTCGTAGAACGAATTTAGAATCAAGAAGCAGTATTAGATTTTTAACAATATCTCAATAATGTGTGACTCTTTATCAAATCCAACGGTACGTATGGAAAGGTGAATAAATTTAGAAGTCATCTTTGATATAAATATTCCATTTGTTGTTCAAACTAGTTCAGAAAAGAGAGGTAGAGCGCAGGTTGTGCTTAGTATGACGGAAATTAGATCAAAAACCCTACCGTCGAACGTGCATGTGAGCAGACTAGTTACCACACTATCAGCGCTTCTTGGTTTCCTTTAGCCTTATCATTCCCTTAAGCGTTTATTGGCCAGTGGTAAAGACACAAGCCAGATAATCACAACGTTGGTCGTTCGAATCCGTTTTGTACCCATTATAAGTTTTTTTTAACATAACGTATTGCTTCCAACGATCATCTTTTTTTTGTCAAACAATACGGAACGACAGACTAAAACGTGCAGTTTTTAACCCTCTCCGAGCAACCAATCTAAGAGAGAGAGAACGTTCTGAGATAGTTTTTTTTCACGACGTAAATGAAAGAGGACTGTCTTCATACGGAATTTGTCATACGCTGTTTGGAGAGCGACGAAGATAATAATACAATATTTTCATCACTGACTTTGCTCTCTCTACGTTGATGCAAGACAGCCCTGCCCGGGTTATCCAGAGAAGTATTCCTGAGAGATTAACCAAAAGTAACGTTTCCTGATTCCCGGGAATTCGATTCAATCTCCAGGGAAAAATCTATAATTTCACAAAAGACATGCTATGTATAAATTTAAACAATTTAATTCACATCCAATTTAATTTAATTCACATCCAATGGGAAAACATTTCGGGGAATTTGGAAGTGGGTAGTTTATAGGAAGAGGGAATCAATTATAGTTGGAAGAAACTTTCACGGGAATATGAAATGAAATTCCGAGATAAGTCGGAAAAAAAAACATCGGAGCGGGTCTGACAAATACTTTTGAAGGAAGACAGATGGTAATTCTAGCAGAAAGCAAATGTTATTGTATATGAATTCGGAAGAAACATTTAAGAAAAATTTATTTAAATTTCCAGGGAAAGTCTGAAGAAACTTCCGAAAACAGTCGATGAAAAAAATGTAGCAACATGGAGGGAAGTCAAAAGTAGCTACCGAGGGAAAAAGGTAGAATTTGCCAGAAAACCAGAACAAATTATGGAAGACTTCGGAAGGGAAGTAAAGCCGTTGGTCCCCGGTTCATGAGTTGATGGGTCGATGGGTAAAGTCCAGGTGTGGAAGCTGCCTTCTTGGCGTGCGTCGGTAGCACTGGTACTCAGTACGGAAAACAAGATCGACGGAAAACAAACCAAAGAAAAAACCTATATGGAAGAAATTGCAAAGGAAATGTTTGGG